AGTTTATGATCCGTATCATGGTCAAAGCCAAAGAGCTTTGGAGGATTGGGTAACCGTTTTATTGATATTTTTATATTTATATGAGGCATGACCTCTGAAAACTAGATGAATTGAGATTATAAAAAATATATGATTGCTTGGTTAATTAGAAAAAAAACCCTGACACCCAAATAATATCTATAAATTTATAACAACTTTTAGCTTCAAGATTCGAACCTACATTTAAGCATTTTATATGTGAAACAAAACAGAAATTCTATTCGAATTATATAACTTTTTCTAATAAAATAATAACTCTCAACTATTGAAATAAATTCAAGTTTTAATCCTTTTATAGTTCCCCTATTTAAATACGCGTTTCCCAGTGTACAACTCTTTGACTTCTTACTCAAGTTTGGCAGTGGCGGATCCAGAGACGATTCTTGGGGGGGGAAATTGAACTTATTCTTTGATTTGGGGTTCAAACTTATTATTGCGAGAGAAATACAGTACAAATTATAAAACAAAAATTATCCATCCCAATTTTTTGGTAAACAAAGTGGTTATATTTGAAAAGTCAACCATATCAAACAAGTAAAATTTTCAGGTTCTGTGGTTCTAAGGGGGGAAATTTCCCTAATTTCCCCCCCGTGGATCCGCCACTGAGTTTGGCCATAAAAGGCAACAACGAGCACTCTGGGAACTTGCCACAGATCCGAGGATCCGCAGGTATCCAGTGAATGTGCACTCTTGAACTTGCGCGCCACTTTGATGGGCCACAAACCACAGGCTGCGCCACACAATCAACCACAAATGCAACTGCAACTTCAACATAAACAGCAACAAGGCACACAAAAAAATCACCTGACTCTTATGTGAAAAATATGTGACATTAACTGGCAATTTCGAGCAATAAATATTATTTGTAAGCTACTTTACAAGAATGATAAAAACATTGTCTAATAAATTGTGGAAAATCTTAAAAGCAAATAAGTTTTTAAAATACATAAGGATCAAGCCAAAATAGCAAAAAAAAATAATAAATATAAAGGCTCTATATGAGTAAAATATTTATAATTTAATTAAATTCACTTTCATTTACTTTTAAGCAAACCCATTTCAATTCCAACAACACGTATTTAAATACGTGATTATGGGAACTGTAAACGAACAGCTATTTTCCTAAATGAATTTATTTAAGCATGTTTATGAGAAACCAATCGACGAAAGACATAACAAGTATTCCAATTTGGGAGCTCTGCAATTTGTGCGTTGCATGCAACAGCTTCTTGACACAGCAGCACCATTAAAAATATGCACTAAGAATCAATTTTCAGTTGATGGTTTCTTGTTTTTTTTTTTTTTTTTGGTTACTGGTCAGTTTCACTTTTACACTCGCACTCACAGCTAAAAAACAAAAATCAAATGGCTGGCCAGAGCCGAATGAAGGCTTATTTTATCCCCGATTCGGACGAGGCGCATGCGCAACCGCAGTGGCAATAAAATCCACCGAAACGCCACCAATTCAACAAATTCAAAGACTCAACGACCGGCAATCGCAATGCAAACCGCTCGCCGCCGCGCAAAGTCAGCAACTAACTGATCGATCAGGCCCAAAAAGCAGAGCCAAAAGCCAAGAGAGACGCGACTCGAGCGTCGTCGAAACTACACACAACGAAAACTAAACTAAAAACAGAAAAAACAGAAAAAAACGGAAAGAAAAAAGCGACAACTTCGAGCGTCGGCGGCAACGAGGCAGCCGCGAAAATGTGTCAAAAGCAAAAGCTGCGCCGCAAAACAAAGTCACAACACGACGCACAGAACGCAGGTGGATGGCTAAGCACCTGCTGATACCCTACACAAAATGTATACCTCTCGAAAACTCAATTTAATAAAATAAATAAATTAACCAAGAAAGAAATAAAAACATTTCAGTAATAATATAGGCATATAGTATAACATATTTTATACAATAAAATTAAAAACAAGCCATCTTAAGAATATTATTTTAAAGTTTAGTATAAAATGTATTTTTAATATAAATAATATTTTATATAAATAATTTTGTTGTATATAGGTGTTTATTGTGTTTTAGCAAATGAAAAAGTTAACACTGCAACGGAATTTTAAAAACTATAAAAATTGATTGTTTTTATAATTCATGTCATTATCAATTGAATAAGCGAATATTTTATTTGCACTAGATTTTGTTAAAGGTGCAGTCAATTGTATTTGATAGTTTGTTTTGTACGCAAAACGCAATATTTCTATAATTTTTTTTTACCAAGAACAAAACTTTTCTGACTTTTTGGGACTTTTTTCCTAAGCTCATCAATTATTTTTACATTTATGAATGCAGCGTAATTCTGTATTATATTAACCTAACTCACCAGCAAAATTGCTTCCATACAATTAAATTAACTAGTACATACTTAAATCTAATACTGCTCTTAACGATTAACAAACTTAAAAGTAATTATTGATATAGTCATGCGTGTTTCTAAATACTCTTTTGTTTCTAAGTATTATCGGGTGTCTTTTTTAGAGGTATAGAACTTTAAGTTGCAATAAAACCACGATGGATTATTCGATTGACATGAAGCCGTGGCTTTCATATGCCAGAAATTATATATAAAATAAATTGCCACAAGATTATCTTTCGAATAAAAAAAAATTCATGTCAATCGAATAATCCATCGTGGTTTTATTGCAACTTAAAGTTCTATACCTCTAAAAAAACACCCTATATAATTATCCACTCTTGCTTAAAAATAATAAGTCTGTCTTAAGGAGTATTTTTAAGCTTAATTAAAAAACTTATTTGATAAATAATTTCTAAGGGTAGTACTCACTCAGAAATTTCATGGATGCATGCATCCTAAAGTGGAGTCCAGTTGAAGAAGGTTATATGCTGCAACCATTTCACAAACACTCTTTTCTAAGGCCTGCAATAAAAGAAAGAGGAAGAATGAAAATGATTAATGAAATGAATTATGTAATTTCTTTTAATAATACACACCTTTTAGCCCCTTGAGGCACTGCATCCTGAAGACCAGTCCAGGTAGGAAGGTATCGCCATCTTTCACCTGGAATTAAAATAAGAATTTAAATTAAAAATTTTATTATTTAATTTAATTTATTCATTTTTAAAACATACCAAGCTGGTTGGCGAGGCACTGCATCCTGGAGTGGAGTTCAGTAGAAAGCACTTCACACACACACACACACTCAAAAAGCCGGAATCAGTTTCTGAGAGAAACTGCCGGTCATCCCGGAGAACTGAAAATTTGGGCGAAATCCACTGCTATCCCATGACGGATGAGCCAGAACCACTTGGGAATTCTAAATTCACCGCCGCGTTAAAAATGGGTAAAGAGCATAAACGATGACGTGGCCTATAGTTAATGTAATTAACATTACATTTAAATAATGTTTACATAAAAATAATGTTAGTTAACATAATGTCACTTTTTTGCATGTTTCTTGTTTATTGTTGAATGTGAGGTGATGCATGTTACATGTTGTATGTTGCATGTTGCATGTTGCAAGTTGCACTTAGCAATTCGCATGTAATATCTCGATTCTTCAGTGTTATATGTTATATGTTGCATGTTACATGTTGCATGTTACATGTTGTATGTTGCATGTTGCATTTTCAAATTAGTATGTTATATGTCGATTCTTGAGTGTTATGAATGATATATGTTATATGTTTACGAGATGCGTGATTTAATTAATAAACCTTAAAGGTATCGATTACTTAATATAAATTATAAAAAATATAAATAATAATTTAATATTTTATCATTATAATTAATAATAATTAATAGGTAGCATTGCAGCAGTCATTTAAAAAAAGCTGAGGATTTGGCAGCTTCGTTTTCGGTTGAATGGAGTGGGCGGTCTAAAGTGCCCTCTTGTTGCTGCAGCGATGTTGCTGCTGCAATGTTGCTGCTGTGTTGTTTCTCCTGCGATGTTGCTGCTTCGCTATTGCAATGTTGCAGCTGCTTCTTTTACGTGGCTGCTTCTGCTGACCCATTTTAAAGCGACTCCGCGGCTGCGCATGCGCCTTCGCTTGCACTGCCAAATGCCGATCGCAGCCTGCCCGAAGTTTTCCCATCGCAGCGGCGCTGTTTGGACATCCGAGTTCGAGTCCGTGGCAAGTCCATCCATCAATTGTGGCCGGCTGGCGAAGTGAAAACAATGCCAAACAACTTTTACAATGTCAGCGGCTGCGGGGCCGAAGAAAAGTGACAGTGGGGCGAGCAATTAAAAATGGTTTTACGCGCTGAAAGCGACACACAAAAAGGTAAACACTGTAAGCCCGTGTAAAAGGTGCTGATGTGCAGCGGCACTACAGCAAACACTTGTTGAAGCCGACGCTTGGTTTATGCCTTTCGCTGTAATAATTTCAATTATTTCCATTGTCAAATAGTTTTCAAAAGTCTTTGTTTTATATGCCCTCCCCAAGGGTTTTTCTTCTTTATTCAAATTTCACTCGGATTTAATTAATATTTATTAAATATCTAATTGGCATACAGAAACTGTGTTTACATTTTTCATTTCGTTGAAGGTTGATTTTATTTTGCCAGATTAACAGATAAAAAGTGAATTTTACAAAAGAATGTTGAGACTTTTATTTAATTTGTTATAATATTATCTATTAATCTGTTAAAATATTTTATTTTAATAATAAAGATTTTTAAAACAACAATATAATATATATTTTATTATATAATATAATTTATAATCTAATAATAATAATGTTTCTTTTAACAATTTAAATATAAATTTCCTATAAAAGTAGGATGACGCGGCTAAATGCAGAGAGCGTTAGCCTGGGTGGAATATCCGCTGGTAAGGTGGGTTTCTTCGCTAGGGCCAGGTAAGTGACTTGGCTAACAGAGGCCAACCATGGTCTCACACCAGTGTCTTGTAGGGTGGAATAACAAGTTTTGGTGGCAAATTTAGGGCGAACCCAATTTGAAGGGGGAAGTTCCGGTTCAATAGCTGGTCAGACTTTCAGTTGTTTACTTTGCGCAGCGGAAAACCGGGCCGAATTCACCCGCTCGAATTTTTTTATATTTTTTTTTACCGCACCCCCCCGCCGGCAACACGTAGTGTAAACGAAATTTTTGCCGCAAATTGGTGTAAATCAAAAAGGCGATCGCGCGGCTTTTTTTCGGTGTGTGAAAATGTATCGAAGATGAAAGAGGCGAAGAAGGCGCAAAGAGAGCGAAAGAAGTGCGTGCCGAATAACACGAGCGGCGAGAAGTGCCAAAAATAAGGTAAAAGCAACAAGAAACAGGCTGTGGAGAAAGGCAAAAGGAGAACGTGAAGCGAAGAAGGAAGAACGAAGAAAGCGGCGCAGAGAGAGTGCGAAAGCAGCGGCAACAAGTGGGCGAAAAAGAAGATGTGCAAATGACAAATTGGTCACAACTCCTGTTTCCCTGCGCTCTCTCTCACTCTCTTTCTCACATTCTCTATCTCCCTCGCACCCGGGCACGCACATCCTCATCCTACACCTTTGCCATCTCACTCACGCGCGCGAAGTGGGAATAGTCGGTCAAGTTCAGGTGGGAACGGAAGCGGCAAAGGAAGCGGAAACATGCGGAGATCCGTTACGAATTTAAATCGAAACCACTACTTCGTCATCGGCTTGGTTCTGGGCCTCCTGCTTAGCTGCTACATTCCGCAGGACATCTGGGAGCTGGTGCAGCAGGAAGAGTGTCCACAGGAGGCCGCCGAGAATCTGCTCATCGAGCGCTTCGGCCAGGAGTTTGAGCCGCATCTAAACCTCATCAACAAGCCGCTGGCGGCCAAAAAGCCGGTAAGCCAACTGTTCCCAGTATTAAAATATATTTCGATTTGAATATTATTTAGCAGGGATCTTTATCCAATCATTTAAATAAATATTTAAGTATGTTAATCTTAATACATTTAGGTAAATATATGTTATTATTATTTTATACACATAGACGCTTGCTTACTAAAATAATGTCACAACTTTATTGATTTGCAGATGCACAAATTTATCCTACATCCTGCTTCACATTCGGTAAAGGAATAATTTTTTTAGCTATATTCATTTCCGCATGAGAACTAAATTAATAACATTTGTATATTCCAATTTCTAATGAAAACCATATTTTTTTTAACTCAATAATGGATTAGACTATAATCTGAAGGGGGTTTATCTTATATAAAAATCTAACCAATAGCCTAAGCGTTGAGGTAGTAAACCAAACAATCTTAACTCGAATCCACAAAATCTGATTTCGCAACGGGATTGGGAGACCGTTTTGATTTGTGGCGCCTCCTCCGCTGTGAAATGGTAGACGAAAAATGCAAATGTTTTTGTCGTCGGCGGCATCGGCACATGTCTCATATATCAGGCATCAGGCATCAGCCATCGGTCCGTGCTGATAGTACTTTATTGACCTTCCTGCTTATCGCCGGAACGCCACACTCGACTACACCGAGTTACTTTGGTTGGGGTTAAGACTAAAGACTAAGCCGTCTTTGAGAGGGTCCCCAAAGATCCTCAAGAAATCTTTTTAGGAAAAATTGAAAAGAAGGTTCACATCTTTTTAGAAATATAGATCCTCTTATCAATAACAAACTCTAACCCTATTTCCATTAACCCTATTAAGAGTTCTTAAACTCTTTGGCATCTTTACAATATCTTACTGAACTAAAATCTCCAAAAATGATGGGAATTCAGCCGAACTTAAATAATTCCAACATATAACTGGCACCGAATATGTTCTTTGTGACCAATAAAACCAAATAATAGAGTTCTGAAGGTTAAGCAGTATTTAGAATCCAGACCACTAACAAAATAAATGACCAAAAAATTTATATTAATTTCGTACAATATTTCAAACGTGTACGCATTTTACTGATAAGAAAGGTATAAAAATACTTTGGAGTAAGGGTTCACAACGCGTGCGGCTCATAATGACTCTTCCAGTTTCCACAGAAACCTCTCAATCAACAAGTTATAGTTTCCGAGCGCGCAGTGTAATTAACACCGAACATTTGTTTCACATATTGTTTAAAGTATTTTCCGGGTGCAATGACCCATTCCACACTGCCTATATGGGTATGGGTTCTCGCCAGCCGATTAGTCGCAGACCCTGTTGCTCAGTGTCCAGTGCTCAGTGCCCAATTGGGCCTCAACTTTCGACCGTTTCGTCTCGGACGTCACTTCATATATTTGTTTTTTATTTCGGCCTGAATGGTTTTGCTTATCGGTGTGTGCCAGTTCGAATTGCCTCCTAACGATTTATTTTATTTATTGATTTTATTTGTACAAAGCCTAGCTTACAATATTCTCGGACTCTCACTTTTCCCCTGATATTTTTATTGGCCAGAATCACATTTCACAGTTTTAAATGCACTGCGACGGTAAATTCCAGACGATCGGGTGCTCGTAAATTAAATTCAAATAAATAAACGCATTGGAAATTATGACCCGCAGCAAAAGTAAATGAATGTTAACTGATACACTGTCCATTTGTTTTGTAAATTGATTGAAAGCACATTTATTGAATTAAACAAAGTAAGCGAGGTGTTTTGCAATACGAATTCGAAATACGCTTTAAAATTGTATTACAAATTTAATTGGATTTCAGTTTCTCATGATAGGTGATAAAACAATTCTAAGGACCAACTATCCCTTTTAAAATAAAGACGAAATATACGTTTTGAAACTTAGAATCTTTACGTTTTTAAGTTTCCAAAACAAACGATCCCTTTGGCAGAGCATTTTCCCGGCAAAAACTGAAATCGATTAAATATTTTCTTACGGCGCACGCTTTTTTCCACCTCATGTTCAGCAAATTATGTTGGTTTTTTTAGGTTTTCATATGCTGATGTTAGCGTTTTGTTGAACACGTCGGATATATATAATTTTTTGTGACGCCGCAGCTTAATAAAATGTTAATAATTTGTTGCACGTTTTTATGACATCGCAAACTGGATTGTTGCCATTATTTCTTTTTGGAGGTGATGTAAAAGTGTCGCCGAAGTTGTCGTACACGTCCCAATTTGAACTCGAATGGGTTTACGGAGGAGGAATTCGTAATTGAACTTAGTTTCGGTGAGAGTTTTGGGTTCTTAAAAAATATTAAATTATAATACTCCAAACTCTTAGAGCAGTAGAAAACTGTTTAACTGGGAGGACAAATAAATAGGCTAAACAAGTTCTTATATTGTGATTAAACTGGTTTCATAATCAACCTAATACGATAATTGATTATATGAACAATTGGATCATTCTTTAATAATTTTCCTTAGATAACTGGTTTTATGAAAATCACAAAATATGTAATTATATCGACTCTGTCTATAACTTTCTTTAAAGTTATATAACATATAACATAACATCTATTGTGAGTAGATAATATTAAATTGATTTTCCATAGATGCAGACGATACAGAAATTGTAAATTATTTTTGAAGCCCCACTTCTATAAATTGTTTTTTTTTTTTCATTTGAGTGATGATTTGCATAACTCTTATGGCTTTTTTTTTCGTTTCGTTAAAAGTGCTTACTTATATCTTTATTATTGCCTTTTTTATGAGGCGCACATGGCTCAAGACTCACCATTTCTTTGTTGGTCTTTTAATGTGCGTAATGAGTGGATGTTTGTAGTAAGACACGGGTTCGTTTGGTCAGTTGGATGACCACAGATATCTTGAAACTCTGAAATTGAATTGAGTTACCCAACAATTATCAATACCCTTAAGCCAAACCAAAAGTTGGGTTCTTAACACAACCAACATTACGTTTCAATCAACAAAACTTCATTTAAGAAAATCTTGCATAAATCATTATTAAATCCATTGATATATATTTTTTAGAAGAATATCCTTGGCTTATCCCTAAAAGGAACTCAGTTAATTGGAAACATGTTAATACCCTGTGAAAGGGTAGAACGAGATTATACAAAACTCGGACAAAAGTCGTCTGCCATTCACTTAATAAAAGACAATAACTACGTTTGCTTAGTGTGGCCCCGTGTGTCCGTGTTCGTGTGTACTTGTTGAAGTTAAAGCAAACATATCTGGACACAGATATATATGTATGAATACATATGGTATATATATATATATGCTATATATGCGAGCGAACCAAGTGCGATTGTGTACACACTATTGCTAAGTGGCAGTTAAGTGAAATCAGAGACGGCAGCACTTTGAACTCCAACCCACAGTTTTTTATTTTTCTTTTTTTAATTTTTGTTTTTTTTTTTTTTTTTTTGGCTGCTGGGTCAACGGTTCAACTTTAGCTCTTCCAAATCCGGATGATCGATGTGGGGATCGGGGATCAATGGATGGGTTCGGTTGGCCCGTCTCCGATCTCTCGACACCTGTCCAAATCGACCCAGTTGGCTGTCAGACGTTCTGTTTGTGTTTTGGCTTTCAACTCAGATTGTATAGGTTACTTACTACATTTTCGAAAAAAAAAAACAAAATTCAAAAACAAAAAAAAAAAAGAAGGAAAAAGACATGGCATTGTGCTTCCGCCACATTAAGCGCCACATGTGCATGCTGATGCGTCAGAACTTCGCGAAGAGTTGCGAATCCAAGCTGAACGACCAGATCAACATGGAGTTGAAGGCGTGCCACCAGTACCTGGCCATGGTGAGTGCTCCTGGGGAAGGATCTGGGTAGTTGGATATAGGAAAGCACCATCAAAGAGAACTTGAAGCATTCCGGTTAAAGAAAATGTTCTATTTCCTTGTAGAAGATATTTTACTTTTACGTTTTACTCTATCTTTCAAAGATTTCCTAAAACCCCAAAGAGACTTCATATTTAGGGAAACTAATCTGTGTAGCAGTCTTTATATTTTCAACTAGTTAATATCAGTATTTCGAAGAAATATAAGGTAAATTTCTTATATTTCCAGAAGTCAATTAATTATTTTCTTGCCGAGAGTTAAGTACCATTTCATATAAATAATCAGTTGTATTTTGTGCCTAGATTTGAATTGAATAGCTTTAACTGATCTGCAGGACCAAAGTGTTTACATTTGCTTTACCCACTACAAAGGTATACTGGGGTATATACAATAGGTAACCATCCCATCTTTTCATAGGCATATCATTTCGATCGTTCGGATATCAGCTCCCCGGGATTGCACGGCTTCTTTCTGCAGGCGAGTGCCGAGGAGCGGGAGCACGCGGAGAAGATCATGAAGTACATGAACAAGCGCGGAGGTCTGATTATTTTGGGCAGTGTACCAGAGCCGATTCCTTCTTTTGCCAGCACTTTGGAGGCCATGAAACACGCCCTGACAATGGAACTGGAGGTGAATCAGCATTTGCTGGACTTACACAAGTTGGCCGGAGAGGAGTCGGATCCCAATCTGTGTGACTTTATCGAGACGAACTTTCTGCAGGAGCAGGTCGATGGACAAAAGATCCTGGCGGACTACATTCGCCAGTTGGAGAGGGCGCAGAATGAAGTGGGTGACTACCTGTTTGACAAGTACATGGGTTCTGGCATGCATCCCTCCAAGTGAACCTTTTACAAGTGGACTCTCAGCCGTGAAATTTGTACAGAAGAATTCTCCATGTGTTTTTAATAAATTTTTCGTTGACCCTCAGAAGGAGATCGTCTTTTTCACCGATCAATGGGGTTTTGCCTCTCGGTTTTCGCTCTTTGGTTTGCCCACTCACTTATCAGCTGGTTGGCGTAGCACTAGGTCTATAAATACACCCGCTTATCGGGTCTAAAAGTTGCGCAAGATTCTAATTGAAAACGAAACCGAATCCAAAACCGAAAGCGAACTGACCCCAAAATCAGAAGCTAAACCCGTTTGATAATCGATTTGCGTTCTGCGATTAGTTCAGCAAAGAATATAGGGTGTATCCCTGGGGGGTAAATGGTGGCACTCGATTGCCGATCCTGTGACTCAATTGCTCTTTGAAACCCCAGATATGATAATCTTGAATCTATAAAGATAAACGTTGAAACGAGTACGACACAAAATAATGTTTGCCTCTCCGATTATATAATCAAACAATTGGAACGCAATCATGATGGAAAGTTGGCAATGATAACCACTTGAGATTTACAAAAGGGTTATCTATAAAGAGGAAAATCCTGAAAATCAGCAAGACAATATATTCTTGAGCCTAAAAAGATAATATGTTGACTTTTATTTATAAAAGCCAAAGGTTTTTGGCAGCTCTTACGTAGAAAAGACTATCTTTTTATCAAGGAAATATTGGGATATGATTACTTGAAATCTATATTTTGTGATTTAAGTGCTTTTGTAGTGATTATGTTTTACTCATATTATTGTTTTCGATCGATCAATTCAACTGCAATCTCTAAAGATAAAACTGATAAGCCTAAAGAAAGTTTCTTTTTAGGTCACATACCTATTTTAACCCAACTAATTAGGTGCTATGGTATCAGAAACTGTTATGTTAAGAAGTTATTTATTATTAATAAACCAAGTAGATATCAACGATGAGTTAACAGTTTCCGCACTTGAAGCCCACAACAATGCGCTTTATTAATGCAATTGAAACTTATGTTAAAGCGCTGCCAGAAGTTCGAGTGAAATTTGCAGCGATCTAATCCCCTAAGTGATTCATAATGAGTGGAAGCAGCGGGACGTTGCCTCTCTGGGTGACGATCCCAATGGGAGTTGTGGGGCATCCCCACACTCGCCACAAACCGAACTCGATCCAGAAGCGGATCGCTCGGATCTGAATGGTAACATCTTGGCGGGACTTAATTGAAAAGCGCGTCGCATTTCCGGTCTGAAGTCTGAGGCCCCCGAGGCCTTTATTCGGAGGCGGGACTGTACGGTGGTGTACGGTGTACGGTGTACAGTTGCGGCCCCAATAAATTGCCATGAGCCGCCCCATGAGGACGGACTGGTCTGGGACTGGGACTAGACTAGATGGGATGCCTCCCCCGCGGGCGTTAGAAAAACTCGGTGTCTGGTCGACGGCGCACTTGTCCCAATTAAGATTTTCGTCCAATCCAATACAATTTGCAGCTCAGCTGCCCCATGTAAAAAATACAAGCCGAGATTGCCAGCTGCCCATATGCCACTATATTGCTACATATATGTACCTGATCCGTATGCCAAATGCCCCAAGGCACTGCACATTTATTATTTATGATGCAAAGGTGTCGACTCGACGGCGACAGAGTGACTGAGTGATTCAGTGGATCAGCCAAAGAAATCCACAAGTCAGTCGTCGGTGAGGCAATCAAAATATATCCGATAGGGAAGTTGGATCTTAAAAACATATAAATGGGACTTACATTGTGTGGGATTAGAAATATCTACAGTTGCATTAAAATTAGCTTTAAAAGGCGTTCAGTACACTGGTAAATATATTCCTTATTTTAAATGCGTATACTTTGTTGATTTCCGGTAATAAATGCAAGTAACGATTTAATGATTTATCGATTCTTAAAACAGGCAATTTAAGCTATAAAACCTAGAGCCAATAATAATTAAACGCTGACAAGCGACTCGGTTCATAATTGAATCAATTACCCAGGGGTAGACAATCGTTGATCCATTAATTTAAATAATTGATTTTAAATACGGTTCATTGACGTCTTTAGCAAATGGGTTAAGGGCACTTACTGGAGAAAAAACAACCACAATTTGTAAATCAAATATTGTTTTTATGGGGACCAACATGATCAACAATTTAAAACTATTCAGTGAGAGATTTTGTAGTTGAGTTTTGGATAAAATTAAATTTTAAGCTTTTAGTTATTAAATAAGATCAATTAACCATTTATTTTGCAATGAATTAGTTTCGTTCAATAATTAAATCATTTGGAAAGACAAATAACGAGGAAATCGTTTACTTTTTGCGTTTCGCTCACATAAGTCATGCGATTCAATCAATGAATTAGTTATTTCGCAATCGAATAGCTCAGTTCAGTAATTGAATCATTTGTGCAATGGTATCAACAGCCACTCAACAAATCGATCAGTTAAACTGAGTTGGTTTAATTAATGAAGTCATTCATTGCAGTTACAAAATAGGGGAATCTAAAAATAGTTGTGCCCAGAAATAGCCGAGTAAATATAACTTAATTTACTATTTCAGTAACCCCGTGTTAAATCTTGAGTGAGATCCAGATGCCATTCCTTGGGCTCATTACACTTTGCTTACAAAAGCAAACACACCTTAAGTAGTCGCCATATAAAATAATGCTCACTCGGGCTATCTGGAGATTTATTACACCCAATGCCGACAACTAGGGCCATATAATCACTGTGCGGGAACTGTGAAACTTTTATCGCGTCCTAAGTTCAAGTTTAGCCATTTCCTGACTCATCCACCCAAAATTTAAACCCACGTCTTTCGATATCACAAACTATTCGAATTCTGTGAGTGTTTCTCGCCTAAGACTCTTGGGTTTTGTATTATTACAAGGGTTTTGCATTGTTTTCACTGGGATTCAATCGATTTCTCTGTCGGGCGGTCGGAAAATAAAAAACTTTGTATGCGGCCATATATTTCAATCAAAGATTATTGGCACTGCCTATAAATAGTATGTTTTAATATTTATGCTTCCCACCAAAATCCGTAAGAAGTACTAATTCATTTACTTTATATGATTTGTAGTTGTTTGTGGAAAATTATTATTTACAATATGAATTTTTAGATTGAATATTCTAATATTTATTTGAAAGGTTTTAATATTATAGTGTCTTAATATCAAGTGTATTTTGTGATAACCTTTCACCATATACATAGTTTTTTTTGAGCAGTAGGTTATTTTAAAATTTATCGTTAATCTTCCAAATTTCATTGATTTTTTTTATCCCTATTTATCATATATATATCTTTGCTGGGTCTGTTGTGGGATCGGTTTACCATAATTGCCAAGGTGCTATTTTTTTTTATTTCTCTGACGAAAGAGTTGGTTTTACTGCATGGCACCGAGTAAACAAACGAAATCCCTATCTCTGTGTGTTTAATTAAATTTTCGGAATGGGAATGGGGAATTGAAATTGGAAATGCCATTTGTTCTTTAGTCCCGTTATTGTGTGGTGACGTCGTCTTACCAATATCTACTGATAAGACGGCCAGTCGATAAGGCGGTTAGCCAGTTGGCTCGGTTCGGTTGCCTTTTTGCCTTTCTGCTCGTCAATAAATCGTCGCCTTAACTCGCTGGCTCACTTCCGTTGTTGTCATATTACGTCACAAGGCTGTTGCAGGTGTTATCTCTGCCGTTATTTGGCCCACGTGCTCCCAAGATTTTCCTCGATCGGTGGCGGAAATTTATCCGCTAGCGGGAAATTTATTAACGACTCGAACCTGTATGGTTTATGGGGAATTTGGATCAAAGATGCGAACTCATTGTTCAGGTGAACAAACCTTTTAGTGAATCACATTTTCGCCTGGCACGACCTCGTTGCGGAATTGCTAAAAGCCGACAAGTTTTTAGGTAGTGCTACACAGTACACAGTACAGTGAGCACTGGCCAACTAGCAACGCATTCGTGTTTATTAAAATAAACAAGAAAAGAGTGTAGTATTTAATTCTTTTACTTATAAACCTTTCCGAAAAGTAAAATCAGTTGCGCATTTCGTATTTATATTGAACCTTTCTTATCCATTTTATTTTTATAAAGTTTCCTTACTAAAATAGCATTATTAAAATAGCACAGCGACCACCGTTTTGGTTTGTGGTGTTATTCATTGAATTTCCCATTCATCATTCATATTTAGAAAAGCATTTTTATTTACCCAAAAGCCGCTACAAAATATCGAAGCGAACCAAACAAATCTCGAGAGCGAAATCCCAACCGAAATGGATGTTGATTTTTTTGGTGTTATTTTTAACCGTGGTTTATCTTTCGGCAATATTTACACATTTGATGATTGGCAAATGTGCGTGTGTTCCTATTCTGTTTTTTTTTTTTTGTTTTTGGCTGGGTTGTGTCCGTGTATCTTAGTATCTGTGGTATTGGCACAAGGTCAGATCTTGAACCGATCCACCGGGGATCAAGCTGTGACCCCAGCGTGGTAATTAAAGCGCCACATGGACCCATTAAACGGCCCCCAATTGCATACGAATACGAAACGATACTGGGCACTCGGATACTCGCCACTGCACCGCCTGCAATTCAATTAAATCGGAGTGGAAATTGATTTTCTCGAGCGCCCCTAACGCGACTTTGATTACCCCTCTACAGAGAGAAGAAAATTGGACTTGAGTAAATGTTATAAAAAAGTATTTACCAATATCTTATGATATAAGATCTTTTCAATCTATGCTAATAAAATACAATCTAAGTGACCTTCTAAGCATATTCGTTTTTGCTGATTATTTAATACAAGTTAGCAAGTGGTATTCATTTTTTTGTGTGGCTTACTTATTTGTTTATTTGTATAAGGATGATTACTGATAATTGCTCATCGAGTTAGCAACTGCTGGTGACGATCCATTACGCATCTCCACACTTTTATCGCCACTTGAGAGCCATTTGGTCCAAGGACTGGTCAAAACTCATCACCAGATAACGAATACAGAATGTTTTTAAAGTAGCGAAATTGCAAATACTTTTACATTGCAATACATATTTTTTGCTAATTAAAAAAAAACAAAAGTTCTATTACATTTCGCTTTCATTCCAACAATATTTTGTAAATACTCGTCAATACTTTAATATTTGTTTCTAATAATAAACTGTTAAACCATTATTCCAAGATAGTTCAACACACTTTATAAACAAAACCATTTGCCTAAAATTATACAGGGTGCGCCATCTCGAGCTTCGGTATGAAAATATTGAATAACTTTGGAAAACAACAAAAATTCATGGAAAATGTTTTATGTTTATTTAGATTGATCCTTTACAATTAATTTGAGTTAGTTTTTGAAGGGTCTAGAAAATTTCTGGTTTCAGCAGGACGGGGTCCCATGTCACACAGCAAAAGAAACCATGGAGTTTTTGCAGCGAAATTCCCTGGATGCATTGTGTCAAAAAGAGGCGATATCGACTGGACGGCGCGTTCGCCGGACTTGACCCCGCCGGATTTCTTTTTGTGGGGTATACATAAGCAAGCCCTAGACCATCACAGAGCTCAAGGAGAGTATTCGCACCGAAATGGCCAATATATCGGCCGATATGCTCAAGAAAGTAATGGAAAATGCTCGAAAAAGGACACTTTTTGCCATCAAGAACAAAGGAAGTCACTTAGTCGATATTGCGTCAAAAACTAACTCAATTGAACTGTAAAGGATCAGTCTAAATAAAAGTAAAACATTTTCCATGAATTTTTGTTTTTTTCCAAAGTTATTCAATATTTTCATACCGAAGCTCGAGATGGCGCACCCTGTAGTTTCATTAGCTTGTTTTTGGTTAAACAATTGATGCAACCTATAAGCACTTTGGCTGCTGTAAAACCATTAAGTAATACCAATCGAAACTGACCCTGGCCACTTTTACCCGCTTTACGATGCCATAAAAACCCGGCAGCAAACAGCTTGTTTGCCGTTATTAAAAATCTATTGAGAATGATTTTTAATTAGCCATAATTCCTGTAAACTGCACAGCACCCGACAACATTCGCCTGGACAAAAAACAAATAATAAAAAGCGAAAAACACAGCGGGTTGGTCCAAAGTGCTTGCACAACTGGCAATTGTTTATTCAACGAGCTCAGGTGGAAATTAAGGTGGAAAAGGGGAGGAGTGGGGAAGGGGGAGTGACCACCTTGCACGCTCCTCTTTGGGGTCATCAGTGAGTTAAAGATGGCCAGCAAATTACTCAGTCAGTTGCATGTGTGCAAATTGCGAAGGGCGGCTAGACGCCCACTTAAACGCCAAATTAAGTGTGTTTACCCAATTTTACTGCTTCTCCAAAACTACCTTGCACAGTGAGTCACGAAAGTTTGTGCGTAAGGCCATATTTCAGTTCTGCGAAATTCTGCCAATACTCGGTAATCCATTAAATTCCAGTCCAAAGCAAAAAAAAAAAAACAATGAAAAGATTTGCTGCAATAAATCTGGTGAGCATTTGTTTATGGCTTCTTAATGTCAGCAGTTTAATATAAGTCATCAGTTTAGAATATATATTGTTTTAGTACAAAATGTTGTAATAAACGTTGCTTAAAAATTTATGACTAAATGATACTAAAATATTTGAAGTTCAATTTCCAAGAGATTATATCTATGAACAAACTAATCGTTCTATTATACAATCAAATAATCACTCATTAAATTCTAGGCCAAGTCAACTTCAAACTCTATTAATTTGTATATATTTAATAACACGGAAGAAGTGTTTAGTAACAACTAAAAATGCCATAAGTCACATGCTTTTTCTAAGACACAATAATTAATAATAAGTATTCCATTTGACGTCCGCCGAGAATCCAGTTGTCAACTTATAAAATCACATGGCATTAAAGCCGTGACCTGACATTATCGTCGTTTCTAGGCATTCTGGGAAACGCAATCGTCGGTTATATTATATTTGTATTTTCGCTCAGTCATAACCAAAACGAGATAGTGGATAAAAAATGCTCTTCGGGGGGGAATTCCTCGTCACCGTGCCAAACTTTGAACAGTCATCCAATCGTAAAAACAAGAATTAAAACTTACCCTCAAGTGGGCAGGGAAAAATGGAGGCACTTGAAAGAATCGGTTTACGAGGCGGCCGTCTTGAGTACATAAGCGTGGTGGAATAGATGTAATTGGCCAGATAAAAGACCCTTAACGCACTTCTATATGGTTTAAGTGCACGTCAGCAGCCAAAAATAGACAGGTGGAAATTGGAATTGAGAGATAGTATTACGTATATTGCTTCTCAATAGAAAATAGTGAAAGCCAGCTGGTGGAAATTAAACACAAAGCTATCAACATGGTTTTGTGCACATATTTCTTTGGAACCAACACTAAACAAAACCGATTCGGTGGGCGAATATGATCCCTTTTAAATATAAACTGGCTACCCAAACGAAGTCACGTACCATTCAACAGATCGCTCTTCTTGATATCAAGAATTTATTTCCCCCTAAATCATTGGAAATGCTTCTAAGATCGGTTCTCTGGTTTCTTGTAATCGATTAGCTGGGCTACGGAGGGGATTCCCGGAAATGGGGAAATTGTTGATCTAAAAGGTATATACATTCATCTAATTTCAAAACCAAATATTTATGCTTTTGGCAATTCGATTCCGAGAAACGGAATTCTCGATTTTTGCAAAACTGAACAATCGGTTGCACTTTAATTTGCAGAGCTAAGATCTTTAAAGTACTTTAAAAATAAAATTCATAGTGATTAAAATTTCTAAACGGAATGAAATTGTAAAATATTGAAATAGTTTACCATTCCTTATTAAAACCTATGTTTTTTCCCACGTTTTCTTTTTGCAGGTAAAAAATGTGATTCGACCGCGGTACTACTCCTCGGAGCTGGGGATCCGCGAGAAGCTCTTCATCGGGGTGATGACCTCGCAGGAGCACATAAACACCTTCGCGACGGCCTTCAACCGCACCACCGCCCACCTGGTGAACAAGATCAAGTTCTTCATCTACGCGGACAGCGTGAAGACCAACTATAAACTGAAGAACATCGTCGGGTTCACGGACACCCGCGAGAGTCGCCGTCCCTTCCACGTGGTCAAGTACATAGCGGACAACTACCTGGATGAGTACGACTACTTCCTGCTCGTCCCGGACACCGTTTACGTGGATGCCCGCAAGCTGGTGAAGCTGCTCTACCACATGAGCATCACCTTCGATCTCTACATGGGCGGTGCTCGCATCGGGTTGGATCCTCCGGGCGGCAGTGCCTCCGTGGATGATCCGCCACACCAGGAGGAGGACTCGCCGGGGGCCAGTGATCGCAACTACTGCTCCCTGGAGGCGGGCATCCTGCTCAGCAGCAGCGTCATCCGCAAGATGCGGAACAACCTGGACCGCTGTGTCAGGATTGGAAGCACCAACGACCACAGCGTGAACATCGGGAGGTGCGTCAAGTATGCCAGTCGGGTCTCCGGATGCCAGGAGAGCTTCCAGGTGAGTCCTCAATCCCAAAGCCCAAGAGAATCTCAATGCAAATAGCATTTAAGTACTGCACAATTACTAGTTCTGACTGTATAGATAGGCTTGTAATGGTTGGGCAATGATTTTTAAAGTAAAGATATTAAGATACTAGTAAAAATTACTTTTTGTATAAAAAATAATAAACATTATCATCTGAGTTATATTCAGGTGGTGAATTACAATCAAAGCTAAAAGTTATCTTAAGCTTTTTACTTACCTTTTAACTTGAATACATTCTAATCCGTATAACACCCTTTTAAGATATTTTCTATTAATCATACCCAAGAGAAAATAATCTTTTTAAGTTATTTGTATATTTTTTTGGGTTCTCAATTATTTGACCGATTCAAAAACAAATTGTGAGAAATCTGTACGTGTCGTTTATTTATTTAAATCACTTGCTATTGACTCAAGAGAAACGCACAGACAGGCACTCAATTGTATTCGATCTTGTGCTGTAGCCCAAAAAAATCTTTTCATTGATACAATTAGTAAAAGCTTTTAATGAATCTGAGAAAATCGTTTTGACGTTTAAAAAATCTTAGGCAATCATAGTTTATTATAAACCATAATATATAATAATTCCCATGTACTGATTGCTTAAAACAGCTTTGGTTATTTATGAAAACTGAAGCAACACTGCTGAATGGTGACCCTGAAAAGCCAAAGAAAATAAAAAAAGAGCCAAGCTACAACATTGGGGCAAATGTACTCTTATATGCAAAGGCGTAGGTTGGGTTTTTTAATGGGGGATCTCAAGAATTGTAAAGTATGAACAGATTCTAACAGCTATGGTTAAAATTTCTAGATATTTTAAAGATCTAAATTAATATAACCAATTTTAGAAATCATTTAAATAAAACATGTCGAGGTTTCCTAAATCTTCGTTAAAAATCTTCGAATAAAAATTACAACTCTTTTAATCGGGAACATCTTTGCAGTTACAATTTCCCCTTATATTTCGAATACTTTAAATATCCGCAAGTATTTGCTGGTATACTTATTTAAGTATTTACGTTTCTGTTAATAATATAATATAATAATATAATATCTTTATGACCCAACCCCCTTAAAAATCCCCCTTCGTACGCCTCTGTCCCGAAGCAAACACACGCGCTCCGCAAAGAGCAGATGAGCAACCAAATTCAGAGCAAGACCAGAATCACTCAGTTGATGGACAACACAGTTTATTTAATTTCCAAGTAGCAACAAAAGAATTTCTTTGCCGTCGATTAAGTTTGCGCAAGGGGGGAGGGGGCGTGGTGATGGGCGGGAATGCTGTGGATGTTAACTTCACATCGTGACAGTTTGAGAGCAACTACTTAAAGCCAGACGCTAATTGTTTATTCCTTTAGTTTGTTTAATGGTTAGTGGTGTTTACATTTCAGATTATTTTCGTGTTTTTATAAAATAAAACAATTTGGAATTTGATGAAAAAAATATATTTTATCATTAGTTTATAGTTGATACAAATGAAAAACCCTTCAATACATTCTTTACAAACGAACTGAAAGTGGGTGTGTCTTTCTAATTAACATTTCAGCTTTTTGCTCTATTTATACACAGTTCAGTTGAGTTTTGCATAAACAGCGCAGAAACCATGGGTAAATGGAACTTTTTTTAGTTGGTTGATATTCAGATGTTAGTTTTCACATTCGTTTGATTTCGATTGGTTTGTTTGGTTTTGCGTTTATTTATGCGGTGGGTCAGCATGGAATGATTTATGTCCTATGTGTGGTCTCTCCAAATCAACATTAACCAGTGGAAATAGAAGCTTTGAGTTCCATGTTTCTGCTGAAATTATTTGTTGATTAAGGTGTTTCATCTCAATTTTCCTAGGAATCAATATAATACATTTTCTTTTTTATTTAAGAGAGTTTAAGGTGCTCAAATAATTAGCTTACATAAAGGAATACTTCTTCAATTTTAATATACTTCACTATATTATTGGAACCTTTCAATTGAAGATCGTTTTTTTTTAATGTTAGCTACCAAAATATTTAGATAGCTTAAAATTAAAAATTCTATGAAATGTTTTAGTAAATCTTTAAACCATATTTTCTGCTAATAATGGCTTGCGTACCTCATGATTTATTTCGACTGCATCTGTCCAAACAAATGCGGAGATATGCAAGTGTGTTTGCCGGGGTGTTTTCGCTTAATTAACTGGCCTAAAGAGTTTGCTTAACGGCGTCGACTTCAAAAGTTGCAATGCTGTCCACTTTTTTCCCCCGGGGAATTGATTAATGTGCGCGGGCCAATTAAAAAAGCGCCTTTCAGTCGAATGGAAATAATGCACAGTGGAAAAAAGGGGGGCAAATCCGCGATCGAATGGGCGATCTTTGTTCCATTAGTGCGACATTGTTAATTTAATTATGCTCGCTCTGCGGAGTCTGTGGAGTTTTTATGGATCGTAAAAGGGATCGTTTCATGCGAGCATGTGGCTGCCAAGTCGTGGGATCTCCGCTCCGACTTTCCTTCCACGGAATCGCGATCCAAGAAGCATACATACATACATAGAACTTGACCCTGACCTTGGCCAACTGCCTCGATGTGCATTTATCTGTATCTGTATCTGTAAATGTATCTGTATCTGTATCTGTATCTGTATCTGTATCTTGATTGCCTTGCAGGGCATGCGGCAGTATAGCTACGCCTTGGACGCCCCGAATCGCCGGCACCGCGACTTCAGCGAGCTGGCCAAGGAGGAGGCCTTCCGCAACGCCAGCACCGTCTTTCCCGTCCAGTCGCCGGAGGACTTCTACCGCCTGCACGCCTACTACTCAAAGGTGAGAAGAATAAAACTAAATTAATAAAATATATACGCTTATTTTGTATCTACTAAACAACCACATTAATTAAAGTTCGTTAAATTAATATATTACTATTTTTAAACCATTTTTTAAGGCGCTCTAGAGATTTGAATGGCATTAATAGAAAAGCTATTAGATAATTTTTTGGGATTAATTAAAGCGTGTATAAGCGTGTTTAACAATACAATTTACAAAACACATTGTTAAATATAACAATATAAGCAAGTAAGTTGCTTAAAACCTATGAAGAATTGATTGGAAAATTCGTATACAATCGTGGGTGCCAATGAAACCTCTAGAGGTTTAAAGAAAGTTGCTAAGAAAGTAACTTTGTTTATTGAAACTTTTTCTTTAATGGATTTTGGATCGATAGCACTTATTTCCCAACGACTACAAGTCTCCACAGAATTTACAAATAAATGACTTACGAATCCCTTAATTTTTCAGCACCATCTGGAGAAGGTGCAGGAGCGTGGCTACGCGCTGGAGCAGAAGTCGTACCGCATCGCCAACGGGAGCATCTCGAACAAGATCCTGGAGATCCGCTGGCCACTGGGCGTGCCACCGCCCAGTGCGCCGGAGACGCGCCACGACATCCTCACGTGGCAGCTGCTGAACGGAACGCACAGCTTCCTGCCGCACGGCAATGCGGAGCACGCGGTGGCGCCGCTCTCGCGGATCGAGGCCATGGACTTCGCCCGGGTGCTGGAGATAGCGCTCCAGTATGCGGCACTGAAGCACCCGCGACTGAGTTACCACAGCCTGCACAGTGCCTACCGGAAGTTCGATGCCACGCGTGGCATGGACTACCAGCTGCACCTCAGCCTGCAGGAGGGATCGGGACGCAGTCGCCGGCTGCTGGTCAAGAGCTTCGAGGTGGTGAAGCCTTTGGGCAGAGTTGAGGTCGTTCCATCGCCGTACGTCACCGAGAGCACCAGGATCGCCATGTTGGTGCCTGCCTTCGAGCACCAAGTGCCGGATGCGCTGCAGTTCGTGGAGCAGTACGAGAAGATCTGCATGGAGAACCAGGACAACACCTTCCTGCTGCTGGTAAGGGATCATGGAGATAGCGAAGATTGGTTGTCTGTGTTTTAATGTTTTGGTATTACCTCAATGTCTTATGTTATCACTTAATCAACTACAATACAATTGCTTTGCCATGTTTAAATAGTATTAAGAAATTTAAATAATTCATTTGAAGCTTATTTTAAAAATGTATTTATTATAATAATATTTGAACATATTTTCAATCGGATGACATGTCTTTTTAATAGTTTATATACAATTTATAAAAGTTTATATTGTTAAAGCAGTTTTAAATTAATCTTTATAAGTGTAATCATTTGCTTCGTTTGCCAAAAATAATATTTATAATATTTATATTCAGTGCTTTAAATTATTAACATCAAAATAACATCGAGAGACAAAAAATCCAACGTAGCATTAATTGTGCATAAATCCCAAAATATATCATTTTATCCTTGTAGATCTTCATGTATCGACTGGACTCGCCCAGTAAAGGCGACGAAGATCCGTTCAAGGGCTTGAAGACGCTGGCGCTGGACCTCTCCTCCAAGTACAAGACGGATGGGTCGCGGATCGCGTGGGTTTCCATCCGCCTGCCGGAGCAGCTGAGCTACCCGGTGGATCCGCAGGACTGGCTGCTCCACGCCTCCATGTACGGACCGCGCCAGCTGCTCAGCCTGGTGGTGGCCGATCTGGCACTGCCCAAGCTGGGCCTGGAGTCCCTGGTGCTCCTGGCCACCCCGGGGATGTCCTTCAAGGCGGACTTCCTCAACCGCGTGCGGATGAACACGATCCAGGGATTCCAGGTGTACGCGCCCATTGGCTTCCAAATGTATCCCTGCCGCTGGGCGCACTTCTGCCGGGAGTGCGACACCTGCGATGTGAGCCAGAGCAGCGGCTACTTCGACCGCCACAACCACGACGTGATCGCCTTCTATAGCCGCGATTATGTTCAGGGTGAGTGCTGATATTAAATTGGCTTGCCTACCTAAATGAGTTCAGTTAAATAGTTCAGTAAAATAGTTCAGTTAAATAGTTAATTCCGGCTAACTGTGCTCCTGCTCAAATAGACATAATAATAATCACCTAAATCTGATTAAGTTGTTGAATTACTCAGTTATTTAAGTTTTTTATTTGCTGCTAAGGAGTTTCATTAATTAATTTAATAACCTATTAAGTGGCAGTGTGTGTATATACTACATTTTTTTTTGTTTAACTTATCTTTGCAACTAAATTAAAACTGATTAAATTAAGTATTTATTCGTAAATGAGAAAATAAGCAAGTAAATGTTTGAAATAGTTTACATTTGAAAAGTTAACCAAATGCAATAAAATAAACTTGTTAATTGGAACATTCCTTCGCGAACTCTTTGAAGTGGCAATCTCCAATTTGTTGTTAAATTTTCTTATCTTTTACATTTTAATTCACACATTTTTTTCTCACTTTCAGCTCGGAAGCTGCTGCATCCGCAGGGATTGCCGATCATCCGCAGCGACCTGGACATCGACCAGCTGCTGCTGCAGCCCGGCGAGGAGACGCGGCCGCCGGGCGTGGAGAGCATCCTGGACATGTTCGTGGCGGCGCAGCACTCGGTGCACATCCTGCGCGGCGTGGAGCCGAATCTGCGCTTCGGCCAGGCGGTGCGGAATCACCTGGCACGCGGCGGATCGCTGCCGGATAGCCTGCCAGAGCGGTGTGGCCGGGAGCAGTGCATCCACTTGGCGTCACGCAAGCAGATCGGCGACGCCATCATCCGGTACGAGGACAAAAGTATTCTGCACAAATAGCACGGATCCGACGGCTCCTTTCGCCAGCTAAAAGCTCCTGCTCCTGCCTGTAATATCATCAGTTCCTTGTCAACATACGAAACGTACTGCATTAGATTTCCATGTGTAAATAAGAGATCGCGTGATTGAAGTGAGTGTCGTCGGTGTGTGCACGGCGTGCACGTCGAATAGATCCTGTCCAAGGATTTGTGCCAACTCCTATACTCGCACCCAAGGCCTAAGTTCCACATTCGATGGTGAAATATAATGGTGAATTATAAATCCCGTAGGCGGACCTATCTCAATCCCCACACACTTAGTTATTTAGGCCTAGGCAATTTCCGTTGTTGCTTGCTTTAAAGTGAAACTTTCAATGCTCAAAATGGTAGACAGCAAGAAATTAGTTGTAGTTTAACTAAACGTAGTTTAGCCATTCAACACACACACACACACACACACATTCGATTTTCGCATGTAAATACTTAGCATACGCCACACATCTCTATTAAACGATTCCTATCTTTCATACTGCTAGCGAGTAAGTTAGTTAGTCAGGCGCACCATCGACTCCTATTTAAATGACTAGTTAAGCTAAGTGTTATGTTAATACCACCTAAGTGAAACGAACGATGTGGCTGTACGAAAAAAAAAACAAAAGAACACACAGATGCCGCCTTGCCTCAAAAAAAAAAAGAAAAGAACGTGTTACAATCCCCTCAAATGGGCTCTCTCAAAAACGGTGTGCCAAAAAGGATATACTATACAATAACTGGTTTAAATTAAGGAGTCCTGTTAAAACTAAAAATTAAATTGACTTGCTAGATATCGGCTAAGGAAAATAAATATATGGTCTGAACAACTTGAGAAAAAGATTTAAAAGAATTGAAACATAAAACTCCCATGTAAATAAATATCTGGAATTATAAAAATATAACCAGGACAATTTGTATATTATTAGTAAAGTTTTTAAGTGCTTGCCAGTTTTTTTTTAGCCGATATCTACATTGAGAACAGGACTAGTTACCCTGTAAATGATTCCTTTTACCATTTGCCAGCACATCCGTTTTAGCATCGAATAAGAAGTCTGCCAGTCAAATTCTTATCATTACGATTACAAAGGGAAAATCCGATTAATTTATTACAAAATTTAATATACATGGACAATCGCCAGCAGTCCCAAAAACACTTTTTATACATTTAGTCATAGTTTAAAATTAGTGTATGTGTACTGTTTATCTGTAGGAATTGTTGTTATTGCAGAATAATACAAATTATGTTTGTGCATATGTACAATAAGTTTAGAGGTTTCTCTCGGTTTTTGTGGGTTCGGTTAAAAGCTATAAACCATCATTTGTGCAGCAGAAAGCTGAGATCCGCTTGAGGGGCAAGTTCCTCGGGTCCGCCGTCCCTGGAGAAAATTAAATACATAAAGGTATTAGACAGATGAAAAGATTGCATTTATAGAACCACTTAAAAGGGGGATAGTTAATGAAACTATGCTTTAATTTAAGTGCATTCTATACTATTAAATGAAAAATGTATTAGCTTAAATCTCGAAGAACTCATTTGTTAAAAATGTATGAAGATGATATTCCAAGAGTCTAATAGGGGAATCACTATTTACTATTTATATTGATTTTTTAGTTTTGTTAAGTATACTTTAACTTACGGCTTGAATAGCTTGGCATTCCGATCCCCCAGGAGCGTGGCCTTCTCGCCCTGAACCCGGACACTTGTGCCCTCCCGGAGACCCAGAACTGGAAGCTTGTGATAGGCCACAAACTCCTCGATCCTTTCGTCCCGCGTTTCGCCCTTGTGCTGGCTTCCCACCTCGGGATCCAGATAATGCGGATTAATATTAAAAGGGACGAGGGCCAGTGCCTCGAAACTCGGCGGATAGGCGACCGGCATATCGTTGGTGGTGTGGATCGATCGGGTGGCCACATTCGTGCCCGCACTGCTGCCCACGTAGGGTAATCCCTGCTGGAGGACCAGTTCCCGGATCGGATCGAGCAGCTTCATCTCGTAGAGCGTGCGCAGCAGGACGAAGGTGTTGCCGCCGCCCACGAAGATGGCCTGCGCCTCCTTGAGCGCCTTCTCGCGATCCGCCTTCGTGTGCAGTCCCTCTACGTTGTAGCCCCAGGGTTTCAGGGCCTCCCGCACCGTGGCCGTGTACTTGTCGTGATCCCGCAGAGCATATGGAACGAAGAGCACCGTCTTCACATTGGCCCTGCAAAGGATGCATAAGTGGTTTAAAAACAGTATTCAAATGATATTCTTTATATACAAAATAAGAGCAATCTTAATACAAATATGTTTTATATTTATTAGATACTAGAGGTCCTGTGTCCGCTTCGCTGGTCAACACAATTTAACAACATAAAAGTCAATATTGCAACATTTTTCAAATATATGGAAGTATAGAAAGATGGTGATTTAACACTTTTCCAGTTTGACTTTTCCACTTGCGCAGCACAATCCAGCCGTTTCTCTTTTAAACTTTAACGCACTGCAATATCGGTATATAGTCGCCATTGGTCCAATATCTAAATTTTCATTATCACTGTAGTTCGCAGTGGGGTCATATTGGAATGCAATGCGATTGAATGATGCCAATGATCTCCATGTGCTCATTTGTCTTTCTTCGCTTAAGTTTTGTGAATATACTGGCTGCTGGCTTGGATGTCTGCGGCCAATGCTTGCACGTCGTCCTCTAAGCATTTTGGACTATGGACAGAGTGGTGAATTTATCCTCAAATGCACGATCCACATAATTTTCACAGTTCAACTTAAATTGAATAAAAATTCTTTTTTTTTCACAATTTCACAGTGAACACAAAAATTGAGTTAAAATGCTATGGGAGCGTGTTTGTCAGTGTGATGAGGTAGCAACTCACTTTATATGCGACAATATTGCAATTTTCTTACGGATCCCTAATTTTTTTCAAAATAAATTATAGCCTATTTAACTCCACGATAATATCGCTTTCTATCGGCGAAAGAATTTTTTAAATCGGACCAGTAGTTCCGGAGCCTATTCCCTGCAAACAAACAAACAAACAAACAAACAAACAAACAAACAAACAAACAAACAAATTTTACCTCTTTATAATATTAGTATAGATTCATACAAATGTCATGAAAGATTTTCAGTTTGTGTTTAATAAGACTGTGATTTTATAAAAATATGCATTTGTACAATATAAAGAAAGTTTTTCATGCTGGTATGCTCTTATTATAGTAAATCAAAAAGGATCATACATTTAGGATAAGATTACTTAGGAACATCTCTTGCAAACTGTGTTGTATCCCAAAGATTAACAGAAAGATAAACTATAATTTGAGATATATATTTACTAATTACAGATATCACAGAACCGCCTTTAAAAATATAATTAAAATGCAATTGCATTCGGGTGCGGTAAGTGATCAAGACTAAATACTTTGAGTTCGGTTGCCCACAGGTTAAACGTAGTTACCCCTTGAAGAGATCCTCCAGTTGGCCGCGGGCGTGCTCCAAATATCCATGGCCGTGCAAACGCGACGAGGAGAGCAACAAAAGGTTCCGTGCACCGCCCATTTCTTCAGCAATCTAATCGTGGTACTGGATGGTTCACCCACTCGGCCGGATTATCACAGTTTTATGACCCGCTGCTAGGGATGGGGCCCAGAAACATCGGAACAAAGGCCCCAAAGCTTATCGCGGAAAAAACAGGGGAGGAAGTGCATGTAATTCACGAGGGGTTGATTAAACTCCGTGCTTCAATGAAGAAAACCTTTTAGGAAAACAGGTCCAAATAATTATTATTATTATTTATATATAATATATACTTTTCTAAGTTTACCCCCGTTTACATTGCATTTTTGATGAGTGCATAAACCTGAATATTTACATTTCATTCATTTGTGTCAAAAGTGACTTTTTGTTTAGTTGAATGATTTTGAACTTTAAACGCAATAGAAATCTTTAATATTTGTGAATTAATTATTTCGAAAACCTTTGTGAAATAATATTTTGTTGAATGCCCATTTTACTTTTTATTGCAATATAATTTCAAGGTGGGAAAAAGCGCATTCAAAACGAAGTTATTGCAACCCTGAAAAATGCAGACAAATATTTGAGTTGAAAATATCGATGTCACGTTTGCAGTCGTTGCATTTTCCCCACTTATAATGCACCGATATTGGACGGATATTTTTAAAAAGGTTGTTTCAAGACATGAAAACGATTAAAAGGTTTACTACATTTAAGGAACAAAAAAAAACACTGCCATTGACCAAGTCCTTCAAACAATAAGCCAGATAAATATCAACATTAATTAGCTATTTCACGTAATATATATTTGTTAAACAATTATAATTACAATTACACTTTCTGTTCGGCTATTTTGGTGTTCAAAAAAGTTTACAATTTATCATTTAAGTTTAGTACGTTTTTACATTCATTGTTTGCTTGCTTCTGTTCCTCTTTTTGTTTTCGTTGACTAAGCTATTATTTTCTTTTAAATATATATTAAAATGGTTTTTGTTTTTGTTTTCTTTCTGTTTTTCAAGACAGCAGCATCGCCAGCTGGGAGGCACGGTTCGGCTATCGACTTTTGAGCTTTGCAAGGCGTAGGTTGCGTGTTGCATGTTGCAGGTTGCAGGTTGCTAGTAACGGTTATGTTGCTGTTTGCTTCTCACTTAAATTAATAATTATGCGGTTTCCACTTTTGAATCTTAAGATTAGCTGATTGCTGTTGGTTTTTCCTTGGATTTCATTCATTGTTCTTTCTTTCTGTTTTTGTTTTTTTTTTTTTTTGCTGGCACGCAGACGGGGGACACACACACAACATGTACGAAATGCATGTTTAGAAGAAGACGGCGGCAATTTACACGGGCGCACGGGCGCATGGGCACACGGTTTAAAAGGGTTAAGGGGGGCGGCGCCATGGGTTAACCATTAACCTGCTACCCGGCCATTAGCCTACTGCGCCGGCTGCTGGTCGGGCAGGTCCAGTATCCGGGCCACGAACTCCGAGATGTCCGTGTTGCGCTGCAGATGCTCCACGATGAAGCTGTGCCTGAGCAGCTGCTCGTAGTTGGGCCGCGCCATGTACTCCTTCTGTAGGCTGACGGCGATGAAGTCCTCGAACTCCGGCGAGAACGTGTCCGCCGGCAGACGCGGCGGATCGTCCTCAACCACCTAAAAATAGAAAAGAAAATGAGTTATCATTAAGAACATTACCCTCTAATTTAATTAGAAGTTTTAAAGATTTTATTAAAGCTTTTGCTTTCTACTGCTTACGTTAAAAAGTTCTTGCATTAATTCTTTGTCTATTCGAAACTAGGGATTCTAGTTTGAAAAACGTTTCAAAGGGTTATTGGGTTTATTAAATCAAGGTAAAAACCAGACTGAACTATAAATCTATTTTTGCCGCAGTTCTGTGTGCTGCTATTGATCTAAAAATATTTATTATACTATTAATAAGGGTTGCTAATTAGCTACTAGTGACATGCAAAGTAAGTTACGTAATTAAAGTTTATATTAATAAACGAAAAGGCAAAACCCAAACGTTGCTGTTTTTGTAATTCTGAATAGAGATATGAAGCTTTGAGAGTCAGTAAAAATAGGATTAACCCCAAATTATATATTTGTATATATGGATATGTGGATGCTACATTTCTGTAGACTGATTATTTGCTTTTTAACATATAGCGTTATTATTTAGTAGAGTCAACCAAGAGATTTGTTTTCAAAAGATACGACTTTACAAAAAAAAATCTGTTTGGATTTAAGCACATGCCATGTTTATGAATTAACCCTAAAAACAGACAAGGAATTTAATAAACAAAGTTTCTGACTTTAAGTATTTTATAGAAAAACGGGATTATCAAGAAATTATGGGTTTTTTCACAAGCCTTGACTTATTCATACGTTTTTTAACGATTGGCCATATTTGTCAACTTCTGCCCCACAAAATTGAGTGGATATAAGAATGGAATAACCATTTGGAATGGCATGACCATTTGGAATGGAATAACCTTTCGAAGGAATACATGTACATATAGAAAGCACCCACCTGGCGCAGCTGCTCGAAGGGCGTCCGCCAATTGTCGTAAGGATAACGGCCGGTGGCCATTTCGATCATGCTGATGCCCAGCGACCAGACGTCCGATCGGATGTCATACTGCGCCGGATTGCCCTGGGGATCGATGCGTTCGGGGGCCATGTACGGTTTGCAACCGGCATCGATGGTCTTGGCGATTGAGTCCACGAGGTAGCCTGTAAGTCAGTCAAAGATGGGCATAAATATTAGTCATTCGCGCCTTCAAAAATGCCAGAAACGACTCACCTGAGATGCCAAAGTCACAGATCTTGACCTGACCGGCCCGATTGATCAGTATGTTCGAGGGCTTGACGTCCCGATGGATGACTTTCAGCTGGGCGTGCAGGTAGTGCAGGGCACTGACCACGCTCATGGCAATCTGTGAAGTACATTAGTGTTATAGCGGCACGATTCCCAGATAAGATTAGACCCCATCCTCCCTCTGGCTGACCTTGCCCAGCACGCTCTCCTCCATTCGCAGATCGTGGCGGAAGACCTTCGGATAGAACTTGTCCAGGCTGGTGCTCATCACCTCCATGCAGATCCAGACGTCGCCCTCGCGGTACATCGCACCATAGAAGTGGACCGTGTAGGGGCAATCGCTGGACCGCATCGATATGTCCAGGTCCATGACCAATCGGTGCTGTTCGCGTATGTTCACGGTCATTGGGATGCGTTTGACGGCCAGAACCGTATCGGTTTGCCGGTGGCGCATCTTCTCCACAATGCCATAGGCACCGCGGCCCAGATCGCAGATCTTCTCCAGACTATCCGCATCGATGTCGAAGGTCTGATCGCCAATTTGGATGGTTGCCCGCGAGTCCAGATTCCGTGGCGGGACTCTATGGAGATTGGAAGGTGATGGCGGCGGCTTAACCATGGGTTTTACTCTACATTATCTCTGCATTTTGCGCGGATTTAGCACTTACATGGACTGCTCCGGCTCCCTTGAAATGGAAATGGGCATTGGTCGTAGACGTCTAGACATTTTGGTGGATCCTTCCTTGCTCCTCGACTTTTTCCGGCACACTTTCTGGCGGACTCTGTGGACCCCGCGGATTCGATTCAATTCGATTCTTCGACTCGGCAAAACTTCAGCAAGATGCGATGTGATGCTGTTCCTACCACATTTGGTCTGGACAGGATCGTTGATTTGGTGTGGAGATTGTGGGGCCCGCTGTTTGCCGCCCAACCTTTGGTTTTTCCCTTGCTTTCCGCACTTTTTGCACTGTTTGCCGATCGCCTTTTTCGCTTCTCGTTTTTCTCGCTTTTCCACTAGCGGTGGCAGACCCTCGACAGCCGACTATCGATATGATCGAAGTCGATATCGATAGGTACATATTGCAATTTCGGATGGTTCCTTTAATAAAAAAATAGTTTTTAAGCTTTAAAACACGCTAGAGATATATAAACAATTAACCAGAGGCCAAGGATGGAATGATACAATAAGAAAAAAAGAAAACTATGAGTTTTAGATATGTCAAATAGGAACAACTTGACAGTTAGTTTCACGATTTAATGATCAAGATTATTGGGTGACAACTCTGAAACACCACTATGCAACCATTTATGCATTTCGGCTCCTGCCTTTAATTTTTTTCTTGCCAAAGCAAGTCGTTTTATTATAATGCTTAATGCTAGTCTTTGCTTCAACACCAGCCTTCACTACCCGAGCATCTCTATTTGTGGTATGTTTTTGGTATTTTCGCAGCAGTCCATTGCGTATTCGAGCGCATTATCAAACTATAGGCAGTATATTTCCCAGTCGGCGCCGTGGTCACACTGTTTTGGATTGTACATGTACACGCGATTTAGGCAGCAAAATCGAATAAAAGCGAGTGTTAGGATTGTGCCAGTGATACCGCCGCCCGCGGCTCCAAACCGAAACGATCGCCAGAGTCCCGACAAAACAAATTCCCTCTTGAAACGGCAACCAAGCGACGAAATATCCTCCCCAAAAAAGGAGGAAAAAATCGCAAGTTGTTGTTGCCATTGCTGCTGAAAAAGAGAGAGAGCGAGAGAGTGTGCTGTCGGTGTGTGTGTGAGTGCGGTGTCTCTCTCTAACGCACAGTGACTGTGTTTTCCTTTTTTCGATTTTGTTTTTGTGGCTGCCCAGCAAAAATAACAACAAAAGTCCAGCGGTCCGTTGTTTTGTGGAAGTGTGAAAGTTCAACGGATTGCTTCTGTTTGGGTGTGTGTGCCGCCAAACAACAACAACAACACAAACAAGCGCGCACAACAAAACAATTCGTACACACATGCACCCTCCCCCGCCTGCGCGAGTGTGTGTGTGTGAGAAAAATCGAAGAAGTGCTGGGCAAAAAAAATCGCCAAAAGCCAATAGTAAAACCTAATAACAACCTAAAATCGAAGGGCTTAAACCAGGAATATGTCCACCATCGAGTTCGAGACGATCGGCAGCCGCCTGCAGTCCTTGGAGGCGAAACTTCAGGCGCAAAATGAGTCCCACGACCAGATCGTCCTGTCAGGTGCGCGCGGCTCGGGTGTTTCCGGTTCCGTTCCATCTGCCCGCGTTCCGCCCTTGGCGACATCCGCAACAGCTACATCCGCCGCCCACGCACCGCCATTGGGTTCCGGAATTAGCATAGCCCAACGGCCAGCACCTCCAGTTCCTCACGCAGCGTCCTTAGCGTCAACATCCGCCTCTGCATCCGCATCTGCCTCATCCGCATCCGCAGCCGGAGTGTCGTCGACGGGCGCTTTCGGCGGAGCGTTCACCCCGCCCACAACCAGAGTGCCGCGAGCCACGCCCACCCTGCCCATACGTAAGTCCGCAATCCAATTTTCATCTAATATAGTCTTAAAACTTTATGAGCAGTTTTGTTTTCGACAAGGATGGAGTTATATGCAAACTATTCTTCAAAATGTTGTCATAAAGAATAGCGGGGATAACTGAATTCCAGATACTTTTGAATTCCTCTTTCCAGATCCAATAAGTTCCAATAAGATATATAAACCTATATATTTTAACTAGGGCATACTTGAAAGGTTTTTAAAGGGTGAACATTTTACTTTTTGAAGCTACGTATAATGGTAAAAACAAAGCTCTTTAAATTTGTATCATTGCTAATTCGTTTCGCCTTAAGGGTCTTAAGTTTAATGAAATACTTTCAAGCAAATTTCCAAGTAATTCCGAACCCACAAAAAACCTCTTTGATTATAATTTAACCTGACTCGAAAGTTCCTAGAAATATCAGAAACGTTTATCAAACCTTAGACAGGTGAAATCGCTTATAAGCCCCTATGGCATTGGAAGATTTGGTGCTAATATTTTTACCGCAACTGTTAATGTTTGGTTAGTGGCAATAAAAGAGGGCTAAGAAAAATCGTGATCCCCAAAAATGGTCACCAAAAATCTATATAATACCAAAACGCCAACCCAACCGCAAGCCACAAAACCATCTTTTGTCCGCATTTTGTGCAAATATTTTGTTAATAAATTGTCATTGCCCAATAAGCGTTGTCTATGTGTCCGTGTGTGTGTTTAAATTGTGATAAGAGAAGTGCTCGTTGCTTGGCTCACTTTTGCGTAGCTTTTGAGTATTTGAATTCCGCTAACAAAGGGCAACCGCTATCGATTCCCGACTGCATAACAGCTGCTCATAATCCCTCATTCCAGCGCCTCAGCACCCCATCAGCCCATCAACCCTGTAACTTCCCCACCAAACCCTGCGCTTTCCATCCATTTCCCCCGCACTGTTTTTCCGATTGCATAGATAAGACAGGCGGGACGGCCAAGTGCGAAAACCAAAAGCGAGAAGTCAACTTGTTTTCGGTTTTATTTTTTGTCAGGCCCAAAAAAATCTACAGTGGTATTAACAACTGTGCACCGCGACAAAGTCGATTAGATTAACAATTCCTGGTATATACACAGCTTTCAATGAACTCCTGAAAACGTTTAACAGGTTTTTGAATAATCGAATACATTTCAAGTCGATTAGATTAGTGGTTATAGTTTCCATGAACTCCACGAAACGGTTAATGGGTTTTGAAAAACCGAATAAATTTCTTTCGATTAGATAAAGACTTTATTGTCTCTAGGAATCAGAGGTATTCAAAAAATCACAATAAAGATATAACTTAATGATGGGGTTTTGAATAAAACGTTTTTGTTCAATTCAAAGTTTAGAAAATGTGTTGCCCTTTTGGGGGGTTTAAATAATTTGATAAGTACTTGAAAACTGTTAATAGTAAAAACTTGTAGTTTGAAATCTTCAAAACTTAAAAGTAACATAAAAGGCCAAAAGGTTTTACCTAAACTGAAATAGTTTCTTATGTGGTTTTTGAAGAGATCATTTAAATTACTATATTGATCACAGCTGTATTGAAATACTGCTATTATTTTGACCTCAAGTGCGTGTGGGTGCCCTCCGTTTTCCACCCACCACCCTTTTCGTTCTTCTACCGTTCTCTTTTTTGTCATAAATTTATGTTTCGTTTGCATATTTTTCGTATTGGATTTTCATCAGCCGTCAAGTGTTTTTTATTTATTTACTTTTCGTGTGTGCGACGCTCTCCTTCGAATTTTTGCTCTCACGCTTTTGCTTGCTCTCTCGTTGGTTATTTTTTGGCATTTCCGGAGTAATGTCTTGAAACGCCATTTGTTGTTGTTATTTTTTGGGTCTCACATTGCTCTTCGCCGCAACTCCGCCCCCTCCCCCACACTTATCAACCGATTTGCCGTGTCTCCTCTTTCGCATGTTTACAAATAGCGTTATTTTTTATGACTTTGTGTTGTTGTAGTTGCTAATTGTTGATTTGAATTGCTGCCAGGGAAAATACCTTTGCAAACAACAACAAAATCGCTCTCATTCTCTCTTCCTCTTCACGCACACACAATCGCACCCACACAAACACGCAGTGGGCACAGTGGGCAGCAATCGGTATTTGATTATGCCCACAATTATGGGGCCATTCGTAACCCACTTGCGATTTCTCGGAAATTAAATATTTCATGGACCCGCGAAGATTAAACTGCTAATTCTTGTTTTAGAGATAGCCACATATTTGCCTCTTAAGCCTAGACTGTTTTCTTTAATCTTAAAACATAAATTACTGGAAATTTGTATAATTATTTTTATAATATTTGGCAGTTTAAATGTAAATTATTTTTAAGGTGTCCTCCAATGACAAAAATATGTTTAACAATTTATTATAGGAAAGTTGTATCATATCTTACTATTACCACGATATTAACCCTAAGTTCCGTTACTATTTTTTTTGCAGTCTCAAGCGGCGGCGGACTAAATCGGACGCGACCGGTGATACTGCCTCTGCCCACGCCGCCGCATCCTCCGGTTTCGGAGACGGACAAGAAGCTGAAGATCATCATGGAGCAGACGGGCAAGCTGAACATCAACGGGCGGCAGTATCCGACGGACATCAACGACCTCAAGCACCAGGGCGATCTGGGCAACGGGACGAGCGGCAATGTGGTGCAGATGCTGCACCTGTCGAGCAACACGATCATCGCCGTGAAGCAGATGCGTCGCACTGGCAACGCGGAGGAGAACAAGCGCATCCTAATGGATCTGGATGTGGTGCTCAAGTCGCACGACTGCAAGTATATCGTCAAGTGCCTCGGATGTTTCGTTCGCGATCCGGATGTGTGGATCTGCATGGAGCTGATGTCCATGTGCTTCGACAAGCTGCTCAAGCTCTCCAAGAAGCCAGTGCCGGAGCGAATTCTGGGCAAGGTCACAGTGGCAGTAAGTTCTAGTGGAGTTCGGGTCTGTTAATCAGGAATTAATATATTTTTTTTATTGTTCAGACGGTCAACGCATTGTCCTATTTGAAGGACAAGCACGGTGTCATCCATCGGGATGTGAAGCCCTCGAACATTCTGATCGACGAGCGTGGCAACATCAAGCTCTGTGATTTCGGGATCAGCGGTCGCCTGGTGGACTCCAAGGCCAACACCCGATCCGCTGGCTGTGCAGCATACATGGCGGTGGGTTCACCCCCAAAATTAAAAACCCATCCTTATTTTTAATTTGACAAGAGCTCGAAAAGCTTAGGGGTCTGAAAGTGAAGATTTTCCCTTACGTACTACGTTTTAAAATTACCAATTGAATTGTTGCCAACCGAATTAATATTTATTATTAATAGAATTATTCAATTCGTTTAATCTCTGTGAGCTTACCCATTTAATTCATGTTTAATCTGTATAGGTTAATTGACGGAAGTCTTGCCTTATGTTATTTGAAATATAATTTCTTTAATTAGAACCGTGCACCTAGGTCAATTGCAATTTGTTGATATGAGTGGTGATTTAAACTCGTAAAATTTATTTAGACATCTGAGATAATTCAAGCGGAAACTGCACATCCAGGAAGCTCGTTTCCTGTTTTAAAATAAAAATATAATGTTTATGTTCACTTTGATTATATTGAAAAGAATAGATAGTGCTAATTAGCCTTACCAAACATTAATGTTTTAATTCCTTACCTTTCCTGTGACTGTAATTTAATATCCATAATTTAATCGTAAATAAATCATTTATTGTTATTCACAGCCGGAGCGCATTGACCCCAAGAAACCAAAGTACGACATTCGCGCCGATGTGTGGTCGCTGGGCATAACGCTGGTGGAACTGGCCACCGCGCGATCCCCGTACGAGGGATGCAACACGGACTTCGAGGTGCTCACCAAGGTGCTGGACTCGGAGCCACCCTGTTTGCCCTACGGCGAGGGCTACAACTTTAGTCAGGAGTTCCGCGATTTCGTCATCAAGTGGTGCGTGATACTTTATAGCTGCCTTAACCACATCTTGTTCTATCTTTACCATTAAATTGTAATCAATTCGCTTGCAGCCTCACAAAGAACCATCAGGATCGACCCAAGTACCCGGAGCTACTGGCCCAGCCCTTCATCCGGATCTATGAAAGGGAGGATGTGGATGTGCCCAATTGGTTTCAGAGCATCAAGGATAACCGGCCGCGTGCCAATGGTGATCCCACGCTCCAGAGGTGAGCCCATCTAGTGATCTGCGCCAGATCCTCCAGCATTATTCCCACAATTCCGTCCGCCGTTCCCCGGCCGATGATGTTGTGCCTGTTGTGGATGTGTGTGAATAGTGGGTGTGTGCGATTCAGAGTGCGGAGCGCTATGTATTTCTTTTATTCCCACTTTTCCGTTACCGTTACCGTTTCCGTTCTTCCATTTTCCGTTATCTGTTATCTGTTCTCGGTTCTCTGCTTTAACGCGCTTCTCGAGTTCAACAGGTAGGAGAGGGAATAAAAAAAAACAGCTGGGGAGCTCCAACTTAACCGCAGGATGGGTTTCCTATATCATGTTTTCGCTAGCCAACTAATTCCAACTGCTTGTTCCTCTTTTTATTTACCACTTTCTTGTATTCATTTAATTTGTTAATTTTCCTGGTAAGGCTAAATAACCTATTTAATTTACTCCTAGCTTCTTTCTATCTACTTCTTATCCTTTTTGGCATGTTTAGCTATGTTTTCTCATTTTATACACATGCAGAAAGCAAATAATAAATTAAACTATATTTTATGGTAATTAGATAGAGACTAGATTCTATAACTAATGCTCTTTCCAAAGCGGTTGATGTTTAAATTTTAGAATGATGTATTGTGAAAATTCTTTATTATTTTAAATTCAGTAAAATAAATGAAATTAAAATAACTATAAATAAATGTTTTCTAAAACTAATACTTATATTTTTAATGAACATTTGAAACAAAGTCTGGACTATTATTATTTGTGGTCGGAATCTTTGGAAAGTGCATGTTACTTTTGGTCCTCCTGTAGTCCGCTATCCTTGCAACTATTTGTCTTTTTCCCAGCAGTCCTTTTCCCACTTAGATCCTTTACCAAGTAAAATAATGAGAAACCAAAAATGTATATGAATTAATTACCAACGTTTATACATTTTTTCTAATTTTTTTGCGTTTAATTGACATTTTTAATTTGAGTGTGTGTGTGCGATGTTTTTATTTTCCTTTTTCATCTTTTTTATTACCATTTTTTGTAGGTTACCTAATTCCTAATACCATTTCTTAAACAATAATGACAAAAAATTAAAGAAAAACAACAAACATAATCTAACAAGAAATAAAAGCAAACAAAAAGAAGACAAACTATAAACAAAAAACCAAACATTAAAAACTATCGACATGAACCTAAAACAAACAAAAGCATTCAAGTAAATCTTGCAACCATCAACTCTATATACAGATATATAAACCTAAAAAAATATATATTTACCTATATATAACGATAATGCCAACCAAAACATAACTACTTAAAAATACTATAAAAAACTCCTCAGAAATAAAAGTAAAATTCAGTAAGTACGACGAGTTTATTATTCTTATTATTAGCCTTCTAATTATGTTTTTATACGTTAAGTGTTATTGTTAATCGTTGTAAACACGCCACATGCTCTGCTAACTTTAATTATATTTATTTTGGTGATTTCCTGGTTGTGGCTTACGTTTGCATATTCTATTTCATTGGCATTGGTTTTTATTTATTTAATTTGCGCTTTGTTTATATATCCATCTAGAACTGCTCACACACAAGAAAAGGTAATTTGACAATAATTTATTATGCTTCATTTATTGCTTATCGGTTTTTTAAGTTCACTTCATTCTGTTATGTTACGCTGATTATTTCACGTTTTCATTATCATTGCTTATTTAAAAAACGCATTTAATATTTGTTATTTTTGGTCCCCTTAACTTTAAAGTGAGCTAGCCAAAGTATTAATTAGTTAAAGTAAAACCTGTTATTAAAATCATGGAGCGAACTTTTTATAATAGAATATTTGGATAAAGAATTTAATAATTTAAGTAAAAGATATACAAATCTAACTTATTTACTGTAGGTGATTTAAATTGTATGGGGTTAATTTGTTTTAATTTTTGGGTTATAAATACATATGTAAGATTTTTAAATTATTTCCAAAATTGTGCTTATTTTTCTACAATTTAAATTTTTATATTATTTTAGGAAATTGTGATTTTAGGATCATAAGCAAGGGTCCTTTAATCCTGTGCAGCCAACTTTCGCTTTCGCTCCTTTTGTGATTTTACCTGTGTTTCCCACCTTTTGCTTACAAACCACAACACATCACACACCCACGACACACTCATCATGCTGTATATACCAAACACACACACAATACACATCACATACACATCAAAATGCGATCACCGCTCATCTTAATGTGTTAAATATGTTGCCATTGCGCCGACAATCTATGTACATAAATGTACCCAAAAAAAAACCTCCACATCCCCGTAAACTCCCGTTACTATTCCCAAATTCTAAAAAGTACCAGCCCCAATGAAATCCTTTCCACAAAAAAAAAAACAACACAATCCTTCTTTCTGCCACTGGCGTACATTTGAGTGTGCTCTCATTATTGGTTATCAAGTCATCGAGAATCCTTAAAACTAATTCGATTTTGTCGATTGATTTGCAGGGCATCGTCGGCTGGGAGTGGAGCCGGTTCTGGATCTGGTTCCGGATCCCACACCGGTTCGGGATCAGCAGGCGGAGCTATAAAATATGGTAGGACGACGACGTCGTACGTGCAGAGTCCAACGAATCCGCAGAAGACAATAAAACCCACTCAGATACCGAGTTACCAGCAGCAACAGTCGCAGTATTTCATGCAATCAGCCACACAACTACCTCAAATAACAACAACAACAACAACACCAACGGCAACGACTAACTGTTTCGGCGGAAGCGGAAACGGAAGGGGAAACGGCAGCGGAAACGGAAGTGGCGGCAGCAGCAGTGCCAGTCCATTATCGCCACCAAGCGGCGGAGGGGTCGGCGATCTCAATCGCCTGTATCGCAAGTCGCCATTTATGCAGCGGAAACTCAGCAACGGCTCCCATCATCCGCACTACAAATACAACGACGAGAGCCCCAAGAAGGAGTCCATGTTCAGTACGATCGGTGGTTTTTTTTTTGGAACTATATACTAAATAACTACACTGATATGGGTTGCTATTCAAACAGAGCAACATTTTATTTAACTCTGAAAAATGTTATTGTGTTTTTACGCTGGCTTTTGTTTATTAGCTCAGAACGATCTAATTTTTTTTTTTTTTTGGATCTAAAAATAGCTGAACATCATTTCCTTTCATTCTTAACCCTATTAATATTATTTTTACGATGGCTTTTTTATATTATATTCTATATATATATTAAGAAGCATTGAAGTGAAATTGATAAGGCAGCAGAATTTTTTAAATCTACAGAGCTAGTGAATACAACAAAATGTGTTAAATCCACAAACATCATTCGAACAAATTTAATGACAAAAGTCAGATGTTAACTAATTAACTTCAGCCAGCTTTCTTTCATATATAATATATTTTAATTTATATGCATTAAAGTAAAGTGAAGATAAGGAAATCAAAAGAGCTTATACAGTGCCAAATTCTACATAAGTTATTCCAACAAATCTAATGAAAAAACCCAGATGATAACTAATCAACCTTTTAATTGCAGGTCAATCGATTCTCCGCAATCTGACCACATCGCCCTTTAGCCAAAAGAAACATAATTCAGCAGCAGCGACTGCAGCAACAACAATACCACTGCCGCACAACAACCAAACATTATACACGGATGCTGCAACAACAACATCCGTTGCAACAGCAGCGGGAACAACACCGCCAAACATTGCAGCTGCGGCGCCCACGACAACGCCAGCGACCACGCCCACTTGGCGCCTGCCAGCGGACAATTCCCAAGCCTACGACAGCTGTGATAGTAGTAGTAACGCCACCACGACCACGACCACAACCTTTAACCTCGGCCACTCCTCACCCTCCCCCTCGATGCCGCGCAAGCAGTTCCCCACGGACTCGCCGACGACCCTGCAACTCGCCAATCATCACCAGCAGCAGCAGCAGCAGCAGCAGCAACAACAGCAGCAGCAACAGCAGCCACAGCGACTGCAGCCGGGCAACCAGAGCCCCATAGGTAGGCTACAAAAAATACAAAATAATTTATTTACATTTTATAGAACTGTAATTCATAGAGAAATTCAAAGAGCTACCCCAATTTCAATTTATTTCTTGCCTAGATTTAATTCTAGCAAAGGAATTACCCTTCTAACTAAACGTAGTAATCATTTTCCAATTTTGGATATAATATTTGTTTTTAATTCTCACGATAGTTTTTTAATCGAAACAGTAAAAGATTTAATGTTATTGTAAACAAATTTCCTTCAAATTATTTAATGCGAAGTAAATATTTTCTAACTCCTGAAATATAATTTACAATTGTCACGCAGCTTTTCAAAACCTTCATTACTAGCAAAGGGTATTAACAACGAACAATTATTAGTGAATTTATAATTTTAATTAAAATTGTAGCCATTTAATTGTTTAACAGACGTAAATAAGTTTCATATTTCTTGTTTCCTTTTTTCGAATTTTAACTTATTTCACTAAGCAATTGTTTTATTTTTGCAGTGCTGCAGCGCTTCTACCACCAGCAGAACCAACTGCGCGAGAAGGAGGCGGCGGAGCGGTACCAGCAGCAGCGGCAGCAGCAGCAACAGCAACAGCAGCAGCAGCAGCAACAGCAACAGCCCGTTGGAGTGACCAGCACGAATCCGTTCCACAGCAACTATGTGCCGCCACCGCCGTCGACGCACTCCACCTCTAGTCAGTCCTCCACGCAGTCGACGTGCTCCCAAATCGCCGTCAATCCCGCCAGCACGTCGCCATCGTCGGGAACGGGAACCCTTGGGGGACTGGGCATAGGATCTGTAGCTGGAACGGGATCGGTTTCGGGATCGGGAGCAGCTGGCCACTTTGGAGCAGGCGGCAGTGGCGAGCAGTTGCAGTATCAACCGCTGCCCATCGCCGCCGAGGCAACGGTGACGAGTCCCACGCTCTTGGCCACTTCCCCGGATCAGCAGTCGGAGTACGGTGGTGGCAGCTCCTCCTCCATGGTGGCCAGCAAGCTGAGCAAGCTCTACGCCCGTCGCCAGCTCCTTGGCCAGAGCTCCAGCAGCGGGGCGAGCAACAGCAGCCTGGACAGGGAGCAGCACGATGCCGGTGAGTCATTAAAGAATCCACTGACAAGCTCAGAAATAAAATCGCCTTCAGTTTTTAAAAATTATAATTATATATAAAATTTTATAATATCTAACTAGACTAGACTATTTCTTATTTATTTATATTTGTTTGATATTATAGAATTAAAACAAATAATATAAAATCATGTGAGAATTCATAAAACTTCAAATTAAAATTAAGTTTACCTAATTTGGAGAACATCATTTCCATTGCCAATCACTATTTGTTTGTTTATTTTAATTGGCTTTAAAAATCATAAGAATTGCAAAATTAAAAAAAAAAAAAAATATAAAACGTTAAACCAAAAAGGTTTTATTTGAATTAATTTGTTGAAATGTAAAGTCTACAATGATATTGGTTTTTATTCTTATTAAATACGTAGAATATTTTAAAAACATGTTAATCATGGTTTTATAGCTTACTTTCTCCACTTTTGTTGAACATGATGGTACTTTTATATTATAAACTACCATTCCAACTACATTTGTTTAAAAAGGCTGATTTTATTTCTAAGTGTAGCATCTCGCTTCTTTGATTTCGCTTCGATCGCCGATAAGTTGCGCTTGAATTTATACATTTTCCATTTTCGTTTCGTTTCTATCTCTCTTCGTTTACCGCACACCGCACACCAAATATATATAAAAACAACAACCGCACTCTCCACCAATGCACTGCATCATCATGAAACCACGAACCATCATCACCAACCAAACAATCAACCAATCAATCAATCAATCGAATGACCAACCGAGCAGGCTGGTTCAACACTCTCGCCGGCGCCATGAAGCGGCAGTTTGCGACCTATGTTAAAACCCAATTGAATTCCACAGCCACGTCGCCGGTGGGAGCGAGCATGGATCGGGATCGGGATCGTGACCGTGACCGGGACCAGGAGGCAGTGCATCCGCAGCCGCCGGCCTACAGGAGCATCGTGAACAATGGCAGCGGTGGCGGTGGCAAGTCCTACTACTACCGCACTTTATCGGCGGCGAGCAGCAGCAGCAACACCAGTCAGAGCACCTCGCCGACGACGGAACCGCTGCCTGGCGGCGGCACCAGCAGCTTCCTGAGGCGCTACGCCAGCAGTGGACCCGGAATGGGTGGTGGAGGCGGCAGCATCAGCACTCCGCCCAGTCCGCACATCCTGGCTGGCTTGGATCGCAGGCACCGCAGTCCGGATCCTCCGCCGCGTTACAATCGCGGACAGTCGCCGCTGCTGCTGCGCAAGAATCTGCTCGAGCTGAGTGGCCAGCCGCCCGGCTCACCGCTCCTGCACCGAAGGTGGGTATTGGGTAACCAGTAGCCCCAGGAGATCTGTGCGTGTGTGTTACCCATAAAGAGTTTTCTAAATCCTCTTCCTCGAAAGATTTGCTCACCTCTTAACTTCGTAAAAAGCTAAATAACTTTTAAAGTTGGAAATTAAGAAATGCGTTTTTCATATAAATATCAATTAAGATCTTTAGCACTTTTTTTTTAATAGCAGGATAAATATATTATAAAATAGCTTGAGGAATAGGTTTAATTGAAGGTTCATAAATATTCTTTTTATTCATTTTAAAAAATATGTACAAAAAGTTGCTCGAAAGAATTTGCGCTCTACTTTGTCAAATAATAAAAAAAACTTTACATGATATTCTTTAAATTCTAGAGAAAAAAGATTTAAACTAATAAGCTGATTAGCTTTCTCTCTGATAAACATATTTTTCTTTTTAGAAACATGCTTTTATTTTATTCCTCAAAAATATTAACACACTCGTCAGGTCTCTTTGGGTTATAGCCATCCTGCTCTGATTCACGCTAACCTTTGCATATCCCTCTAACTTTCAGATACGTTTCGGCATCGCCGCCATTGCCGCCGCCGCGTCGAGGATCGGAGAGCGTGCCGGGATCGCCGCAGCACTTCCGCACCCGCATCCACTACACACCCGAGCCGCAGAGACGCATCTACCGCACCATAGATCAATGAGTAGCGCTGCAAATCATGGTCATGTGATGCTGGTACGGCTTCGACGACGACGCCGCCGGCGCTGAACGGGAACGGGAACGGGATCGGGATCGAGAACAGGAGGCGGAGCAGATGGAGGAGGAGCTGCTGGAACCCATATCCATGCCCGTTCCGTCGGCAGCCGGCGACTCGCTGTCGATGCCTGCGTATGCAGATAGCCTGGGCACCAGGTCCTCATCGGTTAGCCGGCGGATAGCCGACTATCGAAGGACCTGCTCGGCCAGCGGATCGTATGCCAGCCTGTACTCGGATGGGGATGGGGATGGCGAATGGCCAGGTGGTTCGGCTGGAGCGGCATCGGGTGCATCGGCCAACAGGACAACTGGATATCCGTGGACATGTGATTGATGACAAACGAAAGTGTTCAAAAGTCTTATACGTTTAAGTGCTTGAGCCTCAGCGATTCATCTGCATCCTGCATCCTGCATTCGCATCCGCATCCGCATCTGCTAAACACTTTGTTTCGTTGCGCTGCTCCAACTGTACATAGACATATATCTGTAGGGATCTATATAGACACATCCGATAATAGTGCAATAGTTGAAAGCAATTCTGTTCGCCCAAAACTTTCCCCTTTTCCCCCCTGTAACCAAAACCTCTTCTCTCTCATATATATATTATATTATATATATATATATACAGTGGCGAGCAAAAGTGAGTGCATGTTCGCAAAACTGACTTTCGTCGTCAATAAAAACGGAACGGTACGAGATAATTTAACAAAGTAAATTTTTTTATGTTTACTATTTTATTTATAACAAATGTGAAAAAGAATCAATATCATATAAGGTAAATTCTAAAAGTTAGAAAGAAAAAACCAAAAAAACACGCATAAACTCACTTTTGCACGTTTGAACCAAATTATTTAAATATATCCATTTTAATATTTGGTCCGCAAACCCTTATTAGCCATAATTTTATTAATGCATTTTGGCATTCCCTCTACCAAATTTTTTATAACATCTTCAGGGATTTGATCCAATTCCGATGTTACACGTTCCCAAAGGTTGGCCATGTTTGTTGGGGCTGCTTCTTACTGCCGGAGCCGTTTTTTCAAAATTGATCAAAGATTTTCAATCGGATTGAGGTCGGGACGTTGTGCTGGCCACTCCATTAGCTGAAAATGTTATTTGCAAACCATTTTTTGACAATTTTCGGTGATTGCTTTGGATCACACTTCTTGGTGAAAAACAATTTAGTCTTCAGGATAAGCATATTTTTCCATAAAATTGGGAAGATTGATTTTTTAAAATTTTAGGTAGTCCCCATTTCGCATTTTACCTTCTACCAAATGCAGAGGGCCAACATGCCACCATGTGAAGCATCCCCAAACCATTATGTTTCCGCCGCCATGTTTTACAGTTTGCTTTACATGGTGCCTTTGAAGACGTTCACCGGGCTTGCACCAGCAGTTTTTCTTTCCATCTGATTGAAAACGGTTAAACTTGGATTCATTAGACCAGATAACACGTTTCCAATCATCAGTAGTCCAGTTTTTGTCGTCTTTAGCATATCCAATTATGCTTTAACGTTCTAGGCAGATAATGCAGGTTTAACGATTGACACATAACCAATGTTATGCAGTGCTCTCCTGGCCGTCAACTGGCTAACATTTTTATTAATGGCCATAGAAGCACCCTTTGGTATGAGCAGCTTGACTTTTCACATTTTGGACATCATAAGTCGAGCATCTGAGTCTGTCAATAATTTTTTTTCTACCTTTGACTAGCGGTTTGGGAGTCATATTTCGCCTTTTTTGAGCTGCAGTCGGAGAAACACACCGAAAATTGTCAAAAAATGGTTTGCAAACAACATTTTCAGCTAATGGAGTGGCCAGCACAACGTCCCGACCTCAATCCGATTGAAAATCTTTGATCAATTTTGAAAAAACGGCTCCGGCAGTAAGAAGCAGCCCCAACAAACATGGCCAACCTTTGGGAACGTGTAACATCGGAATTGGATCAAATCCCTGAAGATGTTATAAAAAATTTGGTAGAGGGAATGCCAAAATGCATTAATAAAATTATGGCTAATAAGGGTTTGCGGACCAAATATTAAAATGGATATATTTAAATAATTTGGTTCAAACGTGCAAAAGTGAGTTTATGCGTGTTTTTTTGGTTTTTTCTTTCTAACTTTTAGAATTTACCTTATATGATATTGATTCTTTTTCACATTTGTTATAAATAAAATAGTAAACATAAAAAAATTTACTTTGTTAAATTATCTCGTACCGTTCCGTTTTTATTGACGACGAAAGTCAGTTTTGCGAACATGCACTCACTTTTGCTCGCCACTGTATCTTTATCTGTGTCTGTATCTCCTTCAATGGTAACTCTGTAATCAAAAGTTTACACTTTACACAACGTAAATTATTTAACCGTAGCTCTAAAAATCAACAAAATAGCTAAATCGAAATGGGAAATTTAAAATGATTTGTAGCTTTGTATATAGAGAAGAGAGGTGAAGTGCAAGAAGTCGTTGCATTTGCTGTTTGCAATTTGTTTTAGTTTAAACATTTCATTAAACATCAACTTGTATGCTGAGTGGAAGGGAAACCAACAACAACAAACCAACAACAACAAAAACAAACAACAACAAGAAACAAACAACATTAACAATGGAATTATTGTACTGATTATTATAATTGTTTAATTTATTATGTAAGCGGCAACAAGCAACAATTCAAATTCAAATTTCGTTTTATTTTTTATTTGGAAAGGGATAAAAGGAATTAATTCTTATTTAAACAGGTTCCTTGAAGAAAATGGAAATGATGGAAAACAAAAACTGAGTGGTGATACCTATGATTATCCTGACAAAAGTGGAAAAATAAATAGTTAATAGTTTGAAAGTACCTAAAATGCTTTTGGTGTCGCATCTTTTAATTTCTTTAATCCGTTTATAGGGTGTTCTAAATATTATTTGTTGTGTTGAACGTATATCATTTAACAACATAAAACAATAATAAACAAATCAAATGAAAGTGAAAATGAACCTGTGTTTCATTTAGATGTGGAAGAAAGCATCAGTAAAATGAGCAATCCGATAAAGAAATTACCCATTACTCGTGGAATTCGTTTACCAACCCATCACAAAAATAAACAAGTAGATCATTATATTTTTTTTATTTTATTTTTTCCTGTTATTCTTGGCTCTGGCAATTACAACATTTATTTAGCTTTATTCCGCCTTCAATTGAGTTTGGTTTTTTTGATTAAACAAATGTGTTTTCCTTGGGTTTTAATTATTTCTTGATCGGTTTATCGTAGACCGTAGATCGTCAGCTCAAAAGGAGTCACTTGCTTTACACTGAGTGGGTTTTTGTATTTCATATTTCATTTTTGGTTTCCTGCCTGCTTTTGTTTTGTTTTTGTTATCATCTGCTATCAAAAGTGAGCCACCCAGCCGCACCACTCTGCCGTCCGGTGGTTGATCGTGGGTCTCTGTGTGTGGCAGACGTGGGGCGGTGGGCGTGGCAGATCGGAACTAACACATAGAAACAGCCACTTATTGTTTATTCTTTTCGGTATATCGGTTATCTGCGGTAAATACATATATATTAATCAGATGAGTACATTCAGTTCAAACGGTATATTCTGAGTCGATAGAGCGACGGTAAAAATACAGCTATGCTTTATGCCCATTTAAACCTGTTGCTATTTCTTTGTAGATTAGTTAACAAAAAAAAAAAACAACTTACAACATTTTGTATAACTATTTTTGAATTGAATGGCACTCGACCTATTTCTCTGTTCTCAAAATACTTCAAGGAGTTTTTTATTTCGATTTGTTTCTGCTGCTCTCCAAATTTTCCTGCCCGCTTCTATTTTTTTAGTTAGTTTTTCATTTAGTTTTGCTGGATTTTTTAACATTTATGGTTATTCGGTTTTTACACATTGAAAGCGTTTTAATTAGTTACGTTTACGTTTTGGTTATCGGTTTGTTTTTGCCTTTAGGGATTTAATATGTTAATTGCTTAGAGTTATGCTTACATTTGTATGACCTGCCAGACACTTGATAAACTTGGTTGTACAGTTTAGACATTGAATTTTGATATATGCGTCTTTGAACATTTAAGTGAAACCCTTTTGGAAATGCTGCCGTTTACGTTTAGTTTTTCTTGTTGCATCAGATTTTGCTTTGCTTACTCTTTATTGATCAAAAATTGGGCTTTTTATTTCACTTTGGGACGAGAATGGCAACTGAAGTTATTAACAAGATATTTTCTAAAAAAAAGTGTTTTGGTTGCATGTTAGTAAAAAATGATTCGCAAGAATTAATTTGTTGAAAACTGGAATTGGAAATACAAAAGGGATTGACTCATTATTTTGTTTACCACTTTTGGTTTATTTTGTTTGTTTTTTTTAATCTTTTAAAAGACGGGATTTTGGGGCCTTTAATCAGGATTTGTTTTATGTGTATTGTGTGTTTTAGTTTTGTCTAATCTATGAGCTTCTTGGTTTTGAATTTCCTTAGCCCTAAATTGAATTTCGTTCAGGTTTTCTGGGTTCTTTCGGTTCCAATCGATCGGAAGTAATTCCTATTGGGTGTTTTGTTTTTTCATTTCAGATGTTCATTTCTGTATGATCTATTGCAGGGACCGTTTTTGTAGAGGTTTTTAGCTTGTTTTGGTAAAGTACTCTATTGGTTACACAAACATTCACTTAGATATTGCACTTATGTATCGGTTTTTCTGGTTTGCTGGACTCTCATTTCACTTGTTTGAACAAGCGTTGGTAATTTTAATGATTACCAGTGTTAAATGTACAGGATGGCAAGCCAACTTGTCTTGAAGTGTAGATACTTATTAATAATATTCTTCTATGCCTTTTTGGTAGTAACAAATTAACAGACAATATAAAAAAAAAACACGCGTTCAAACAGTTAGATTATGCTTGCAATTCTCATGAACATTTAAGTACATCATATAGTTTTTCCTTAGGTAATAAATTGGTTTTTTTTTTTTGGTAACGTTTGCTAATTCGTTTCGTCATTTGGGAAATATGGTTTACAGCGGGAAAGGGAAAGGGGCGAAAGGAATTTTTTTCTGCTTACATTCTTTAATAACATTTATTAAAAAAATTTTGTTACCTTTTATATTCATATTAATTTGGTTTCTTCTCATTTTTAGTTTTTAAGTCTTTGTTTTACATCAGTAAGCGTTTGTTTTTTGTTTTCTTTTTTGTTTTTTTTTTCACTTTTTTTGTTTTTGTTTTTGGTTTTCCTCGATCGTGTGGGTATCAAAAATCGAATGCCACAGTGGTTCCTTAAAAGACTAGTTTACATACCTTCCTAGGACAATCGTACACATACACATATATATATATATATATATATATATGCTGGGTAATACTTGTAGAAAATGCTTATGCTTTCTGCCTTGGCTCCATTACCATTATTTTTTTTTTTTTTTTTTTTTTTCGCTTTTTTTCAGAGGGGGGCGGGAGGGGGGTGGGGTTTGGGCCGCCGTCTCCCTCCGCTCTCTCTTTCAATGCATCCCCAAAAATCGGGGGCTCTTGTCATTCCGGGGTGAATGTAAGAGTTAACAATGTCAGTTTCGATTTGGATGGTTCGGGCGCTTTTTTCGAGCGGTGGGTTAGACGCACATGCACACACACACACACACACACACGCACACAGTGATAGGGGGCTATATATGTACATACATATATAAATTTTGATATTTTCCAAAACCAATTTCCTATCTAGGTATGAAAAACATTGGGGAACTACAAAAAATTTTATGAAATGAGTTATGAACATTTTTTTTTATTTTCCAATATAACATCTAAATTACTTGAATAAAATAAGTAAATAAATACAACCCAAATGCTTGAAAGTATCTGTATAGTTTTATATAAATTTTTTCTATTTGATTTTCTGTTTTTGTTTTATACATAGCTTTCATGAACATTAAACATAAAATGATGTTTTTTTCGTAATTATGGCGAACAATTTAACATAAAAGAATTGATTCCAATCTTATTCTAAAATTCATATTAGGTACAAAACAATATCTTCCCAATCACTGTTCACATTCACTCGCTATACATGCATAAAAAAAGTTAACCTTAAATTTTAGAAATTCGTCATTAAAATGTGATTTTTGTATACTCTAATTATATTTGTAATAAAAAGTTTTTCCTGAAAGCTGGGAAATTTTGCACAATGAAAAAATAAATAGCCCTCAGCGAGGCTATAATTCCCAATGGGTTCTAGCCGAACGATTAGGAACCATACTGGTCTTTAGGATATAATTTCCAAATAAAATAATATTTATGTTTATTGCATTTTTTTTGATCCACTAGTTATGCGAATTTCTGAATTTTAGGTTTAAATTTTTTCCGATTCACACACACCAGGTCGTTTTTTTCTTTTTTTGGTTTTTAGTAACGTCGACCGCTGCCGCTGCTGCCGCTGGCGCATCCGCCGTCCCCGCTGCTACCGCTGGCGCCATCGGCCGCCCATCTCTTGCGTCGCGCCTCCTTGGCGGCCTGCATTTGGGCGGCCACGCGACTCGTGCTGGGGGCATTATCAAAGCTGGCATAGAGCTCCACTTCCTCGTCGGCGGCATCGCGGGGCGGGTTTTGCATTTCGAGGGCGGCGGCCAGGGAGGCCATGGCATAGGCACGGGCATCGATGGGCGGGGCTGGGTGGTGCTGATATTGACCCAATAGACCTACACCCAAATCCGAATCCGTTTGCTGCTGTTGCTGTTGCTGCTGTTGCTGCATTTGGTGGTGATGAAGCTGCTGCTGTTGCTGCTGTTGCTGTTGCTGCTGCTGCTGTTGTTGCGTTTGCTGCTGCTGCTGCTGTTGCTGCTCCAAATCGAAACTCACATTCTTACTGTCTCATCCACCCCGGTGGACCTGGACGGTGGCCTCGGCGGACTCCTGCTGCCGCAACTGCTGGCGGTAGGCATCCAACTCGGGCATGCGGTAGGTGCCCAGATTGACCTGCACCATCAGCGTCTCCATGATCCGTTCGTTCTTCATCGACTTGGAGGGCAGGACGACGGTCAGCAGTTCACTCGGCGAGATCCTGCACAGGTTTAGATCGCGCGTCAGCCGCTCCATGATGCACTCGAACTCGAACTGTGTGTCCTTGTTCGGATGGTTCTTCAGCTTGCCCACCTTGTGCTGTGCCCACGCGAGCATCGCCTCGAACTTGCGAATCTCGGGCGTCTGCAGCTCGCGGCACATGATCATCTGGACCATCGACTCGGAGAGGTGCAGGAACTCGGGGCACTTGAACAGCGAGTGCGCCTTGCTCTCCACGAACGACAGGATCATGTTGACCAGCTCCGAGGCGGACGTGTAGCGCCAGTAGTAGTTCTCCAGCGAGATCAGCATCGGGCAGACCACCTCGATGCGCAGGAACTGCTTGCAGTGGTGGAAGCACGCCTGCAGCAGCTCCGGCAGGTCGTAGTGCTCCGCGGCGCACAGCAAACCTATGGATTCGGTAACAAATTAATAGGTTTCAAAACTGGTTAACAGAACAAAAATATCTACAATAAATCTTATCGTAATTGCATTTCATTTACTTAACCTTTATGATTTAATTAAAATAATATTAGTACTGTCTGCATTAAAAATTGTCAAAACATGATTGTTATCAGATTTTTAAGGAAAATCTTTATCAAAAATCAAAAATTATCAAAATCAATACAAAAGTTCAGCAATAGTAAACCAATTAACCAATTACACTAAAGCATTTGTAATAAAGATAATTCGATCGTATAGTAAATTTATTGGTATTACTTAAAAAAAAATATATGGTTAAAAACATATAAACATATATTACGGATTCAATAAGAAGGTAATTCGTTAATATTAAACTTCGTAACCCTAAAAATTATTTCCTATGCGAATGTTAAATATGTATATTAAAAGTTATTTTTATCAGAGTATCAAAATGAAGACATTTATCATAGACTACATAAAGCTGCTTTTTTGTAGGTTAACTGAAATCATATCCTTCAATCTGTATTCTAGTGTTTAGGTTCTATCGTGCCGTTTAGCTGTGTAATATTCACCTGGAATGGAGACGCAGGTGAGCGGACAGGTGCCCGTGTGGAGGTAGTCGAGGAGGACGCGGAAGGTGTCCGGATCGAACTCGATGATGTTGAACTCGGTCTGGGCGAGTTTGGCTCGATCGACCTTTTGGGCGTCGGCGCAGACGGAGAGGCGTGGCACGGCGAGCTGGTTGTTGCCCGGCTTGTCCTTGTCCTTGTCCTTGCTGTCTCTGTCTGCAGGCGCCAGTGGATGGGATTATCGAGTGGGCGGGGCAATTATCGGTCATCGGTCATCGGTTATCGTTCATCGGTGTTCGTTAGTCGATGGTCGATGGTTGGTGATCGGTAGTCGTCGAAATGAACGAAAATCGAACAAATTCGATTGCAAAACAAAAATCGCAAATCATAGAGGGTTATAAAAATCATTTGTCAGTCAGCAATTAAACAATTGGGTTAACCAAAGGCACAAAGTTAAGAAGTTTATGTTGAGTGATCGACGGGGGAATTGTTTTTATTTTTATTGTTTTTTTTTTTTTTTTTTTGAGAGAGAGGTGAGGCGTTTGGCGAGTCATGTGAGATGAGAAAATGATAGAATTTTGTTTGTTGTTTAATTCAAATTATTTAGTTTGTTTTTTTCATGTTGAACGAAGAGATTAACAGAACAGAGACAGAGATGTAGAGTACAGATCGTAGATATAGTGACAAATAAGGATAGTTAACACAACGAGAAGGTGAAGAAGTGGAAAAGTTCGAGGAAGTCAAAACAGTTTGGTGTTTGGAATCCAATTGTAACAAAATTTCACGTAACAGTAAAAATGCAAGCAGTTGAGGTGAAATGGGGTGGAATGCAGATATGTTAATGGATAAATAATTTCAGTTAACAAAAATAGGTATGATTTTGTAAGAATTAAATAATAAAAGATATAGAAAAATTATAAAAAACCAATTAAAAAGGTATATTCACAGGGAAATTAAATCGACATAAGCACACATACAAGTACGTCATGGTTTTATGATTTTTGGATGATGATATGTTGTTTTGAGGAATATCAAAAATCACACAAAGTGCAGTATAAACAAAACGAAAGGTGGGAATGCATTTATAAAAAAAGTAGTTCGACCAATTGTACAGAGGATGCATTGTCAAAAGTTTCTCAAACGAAAGAAACACGTCCAGAATATTTTATGCGATGAACCAAGGGGTAACGAATGAAACACAACCAAATAAATAAGTCACAACAATGAGAGGTGTTCGTTCGACACAAGACATTCGATCGGGTGTATTTATAGAGTTCAGGATATTCATATATAAGTCAGTTGAGATCGGGTGAGTACGCAGATTTTTTTTCGGATTGAGGTAAAGATGTGCGGCGTGCGTTTTTTAGTTGCATATATTAGATTTTTTTTTTTTTTTGTTTGGGTTTTTCACGGATGCAAAGTTGGTAAGGTACGAGTAAGTTGCAAAGTTAAGGTTTTTTATAAGAACGCAAGGACGCAGACGGTGGACGTATACGTAATGTGGAAATGCGGAAAAATCAAGGAGAGAGAGGAGAGAAGAGAACAAAAGAGAGCGGAGAGAAAAGAACACGCATCGATATGGTTGCATTGCACCGACTGAAAACCCTTACTCGAACAATCTGTCGACGAAATCCACTTTTTCTTATCATCCGGATTCAGCTGATTGGTGTTCTTGTTCCGTATGGATCGACCCCATCCCGCCGTGATGGTTCCCAGTCGGGAAAACGCCCTCTTCACCATCGGCGATGAGGGTACGCTCTTGGGCCGAATCGAATCGGAATCGGGAACGGTCAGGTAATTGTTGCTCTTCGGCTTCTGGTTCTGCGGGGAAACGAGCGAGGGAGCTGGTCGGGCGAAGATCTCCGCCACCGGAATCTGCGGCGATCCGAAGCCAGTCTGAATGCCGTACAGCATTTCCTGAAACGAAAAACAATGGCTCTATGACAACTACTGTGTTCATACGATAAACATTCCATGCAATCATTTCTTTGATTTTGTTAACTTTCATATTAGAGGGTATGTTAGGCATTGGCAATTGCTGTCAGAAAAATTATGGTTAAAATTAAAAAAAACCACACTTACAATTGCAATGGTTATATCTTGTAAAAGTCAACAGTGCGTATGATTAATGCTTTAAGTTTATAACTCATACGCCCTGTAGTTTTGCTTTGGAAAATAAATAAAAAAAAACAGAATACGTTTAAGGGTGCTCAATTTCAAGAGTTTATTGTTCATATGCACTGTTGAGTGAGCCGTAAAATATATTTAAGCGGACAACATTGCGTATGAGTAACCTTGATGACGCCATTTCATTACCCATACGCACTGTTGTCTGGGCTTAAAAAGATTTAAACTTTATTACTCATACGTAAAATGGTTTTTGTTGGCGGGCAAGAAAAAGTTGGCAAGTGAAAACTCTTTATTTAAATGTAAATAAAATGGTGAAAAAAAAACAGTTTTATAAATATAAACTACCAGAGTTAAACCCACCTGGAATACCCGACTTCGCACGCCAAGGATCGCTCGGACTCCAATAAATCGCGCCTTCTGCTTGGACTGGCCCACCAGGAAAACGACATCGAAGAGATGCGAGTTGGTCAGGCACGATGGCTCCTCGTTCAGAAATACGCGGGTGAAGTCCTTGGCCAGCTGGTCGTAGTCCTCGAATTGATCGCGAACGGAATCCAGAAGTGGCGATGAGGGTCTCATGTGGCCTGAGAAAAATAGATATTTATTTTACAAATTAATAAGGGTTATAAAAATGGTATTTCTCTATGCTAAAATTATTAAAATCAATGGGATGTATTCGCTGAAAAAAATTTCATTTAGAGTCAAAAATCATGCACATTACATGCCTTCAATGATTTTTTATTCATAAACACAAGTGTTTAAAGGTTTTTAGTAAATTCCAAACTATTTAAAAACTTGAAACTAACATTCAATATAAAGGATGTGTATATTTTATTTTTTTTCTGCTTCCAGACCATCTATTCATTCCATTTAAGTTCCTGTTAAAGGCAAACATCTGTGTGCCAACTTAATAAAGCAGCCAGGCAGCAGCTGGCATATGGAAATCTTGTCATGAACCAGATAAAGCACCACCCTTATGCTTCCAAGGATGAATTCGAGGCCCCCGAATGTGGGGGGGCTTATTGCATTTTGAGTGGAATTTATGAAGGTGTTTGCAATAGACATACACAATCGAATAATTACAATTGGGAGGCCCGGGTTCAATAAAGTCTCCAGTGGTCATACAATTGAGCACTTCTTGGGTGTTTCTGTGGTTACAGCTGTGTTCGATTGCGAAAGAATAATTCGAAGTATTCAAGGGTAAAGTAAGTCTTTGCCACAACTAGTTTTACGTACAAAATACTTTGTATTGAATTCAAATATTTTAATCAAGTATACAATTCATGGTAAATATCTATTTATAGCATATTTTTATTTTCTATTTACATCCCTAATATTTTGAACACAGCTGTGTTTATTTTTGTAGGATCTGGAATTTATGCAGTTCCCCAATCGCATTCGAATGGAAATGCCAAACTATTGGAGCGGTAATTTGCATAATTTCAATACGGATAGTTCCCGTTTGGGGATCACTTCCGGCTTTTCCCAGTGTGTACGTGTGTGCGAGTGAATATGTGTGGGTGTGTGGGTGGGTGGTGCTTGTGTGTAAGTGTGCATGAATAAATCAAATTAGATTTGTGTTGTCTGGTGCAACAAATAGCAACAAATAAATAACAAGAAATCCAAACAAAATCACAACAAACAGCAACAGCAACAACACACACCATCACCATCACCACCACCACCAACAACAACAACAACAATAACAACAACACGAACAGCAGCCTTGGGTGGGTGGGTGTTATACAGTGGGTGGTGATGGTCGGCTGGAACAAAAGATATCCCCCGCTGATAAAGTAACACAAACATGAACAATATTTCTTGGCCGGACAAGTGTCGGTGTGTGCAGATAAAGGACGAGCAGATTGTCCTTGTCGGGGGGTTAAGTTTCAAAAGGGGACAGCCAAAAGGTGGGGTGGGGTGAAAGTAGGGAGAAAGCGGCAGAGGGGAGGAGGCGGAGGAGGGGATAGAAAGAGATTGCTTCGAGCGACGACTGCACGTTTCCGGTGGGCACAAACACAGCCGGATGTGTTAATGGCGGAAGCGGAAGTGTCAGTATGTGTCTTTCTCTCCCTTTCCCTCCCCCTTCTCCTTCCCTCTTCCTCGTCCCCTTTCCCTTCTCTTCCCTTCCCCCCCCACCCCCTCTTCCGCCATGGGTGAAAGTTCAACCGAAAGCAAGACAAAACGATTAATCAAACATACTCGCACAGAAACCGTGTCACAAAGGACCAAATGCAAATGTCCTTTTTTTCTATTTTCTTCTCCTGCTTTTTTTTTTTTTTGGTTGCCAGTAATGCCTGCAATTTGTTCTCGCGATTTGTTTATAAATCTCCTTAAAGTCGGGCGAAAAATGTTGAAAATCTACGCGATTTGCTTAAAGGCCTTCAAAGAAAAATGCTCGTAAAGGAGATGGAGATTTATTTTGGAGCCTGCTGGTTTTATTGCAAAATTAACGATGTCCTGGGACTTAAGCCTTTAGGATTTGCAAATTGTAAAACTGAACTGAAGTTAAAAATGCTGTATGCAAAGAGCAAACTTTTATCAATTGGAAAATTTAATGTTTTGGATTTTTTTTTTTGGAGTTGATAAAATTGTAGTTTAAACAGATTTCAGTTTAGGATTTTATTTGAGTTTACCTAATGTAATTGAGTATTTTTGCCAAACTATTTTATGGATAATTGTTTTTTACAAGTTTTTCTTTTAAATATCTAGAAAGGAATATAAAAATGGCAACCACCTAGTTTACATGATTCTTAGTAGAATTCTCCCTTCGTGAAAGTAACTAAATCCCGGAAAAGCTTTCCAGGATAATTTTTAACAATTTGCATTTGTGACCTTGTTTTCTCTTTTCTGTTTTTTTTTTTTTTTTTGGTTTCGTTAGCCAAGGAAAGTGTATAAATGCAGAAGTCATTCATCAAAGCCAGGCAAAAAACATGCGGGCCAACACAAAGAGGGCGGCCGAGGTGAGGGGTGGCTGGTGAATGGGGGCGGTGAAGGGGCGTGGTGGCAGACATACTATGCCTCGCACACAGGTGCAACATGGCACAACACGACGTGTGTGTGAGTGACGACGTCGATAGTTGCAGATGCTGTTGCAGTAGTTGTTGTGGCAGCATTAGTTGTTGCTTAACACCGTCATGTTGTTGTTGTTGTTGCAGTTGCAGTTGTTGTTGTTGTTGCTCAAAGTAACTATTGTTGTTGTTCTGACTGTTGTTATTGTTGTAGTTGTTGTGTCTGTTGTTGTGTGTATTAGTGTTGGTTTTTTTGCTGTTGTTATTATTATTGTTGTTACTATTGTTGTTACTATTGTTGTTGTGTGATTGTGCAGCAGCTGATTGCAGTTCAGCAATTGTTGCATTGTTGTTGCAATAGCAGCAGATGTTGTGCGTCGGCAAGTGTTGCATGTGCTGCATGTGCTGCATGTGCTGCAAGTGCAGCTGCTGCTGCTGTTCGTGGTGTGTGTTGTTGTCTAGGACTCGGGCATGCAACATTTTGATATATTCATCCTCACCGATCGGTCGCCAGCTGCCGCGTCTATATGGCTTCGGTATCTGTCCGGTTTCCGCGTGATTCGACAGGTTCATCACCAGATCCTCGAGCATCTGCGATCGCGTCCGCTCCTGCATCCTGGCGAACTTCGGTGCCGAGTAGGAGGCCCTCTCCCCATTCACGATCTTCGTCAGCAGCCATTCCCTGTGGAAGTTTTTAAGTTTGTTTTTGGGGTTTTAGGGGGGATGCTTTAATGGGGAAGGGAGTTCGGTTAATCTAGCAGCAAAACTCACCGGAACATGGGCCCCTTCTCGAAGACGGACTGCTCCCACAGGTAGGGCTTGTAGGCACCCACCTCGTCGCGGGTCACCACGGAAACTTCATACCGCGTCGGCTTGTGCTTGATCCTGGCCGAAACACGAACCTTGGAAGGAGCAAGAAAATGGGTAAGAAATTGTTAATTAGGGAGTCCAATACTCCAAGTATTTTCTCTTATTTTGTTCATCTATTGATTAGCTTTACATATTAAATTATTTAAAATACATAGCCACTTATTAAAAAAAACCAACAAAGAAAATAAAGTTATTTGCATACATCTAATGGTAACATAAAATCTGTAAGTATTTCTTGCTTACTTCATTTTACCACTACAAAATTCGAAAAATGAGAGTAACATGTTTGCAAATATGTTATCTATACCTATCTATACCTACATTTATAATGCATTGCTTTAACTTAAAGGTTAACCATTCAATATGATGAGCAAATCAATAATCTTAACCATTGAATGCCATCAATCCAAAGGACACTCACCAGGATGAAGGTGTGCAGGAAGTGGCTCTTGATGCAGGCGGGACTGAATCGCGTGTTATCCGCCTCCAGGAAGACGACGCAGACGATATCGTTGCCTATATGCCGCTTCCGCTGCAGCTTCTGCGGATCGTGCTTCTCGTAGGGCAGCAATGTGGAGACATGGAACATGATCTCGATGTTGCGCCAGTTTGTGTACACGGAGAAGAGACCTTAAGAGGCGTTTACAAATATTATACAAAATATTATTCAAAAAGTGTCAAAGTGAAAAAATTTGACATTAACTGGGGTAAAAATATGAACCAACTGGACACGGAAAATGTTGGTGCAGTTCGTTTAAGAATGCAATTACAAACTTTGAAATTGGACAAGAATTGTCGAAGTTATGGGTTATGGTGGTCCCACATTTCGTCGGAAACTTGCAGTTTGTTTACCATATAAATATATTATATATAAATAATATTTACCTGTTAGGTCGTGCACCGTATCAAGGCCACCTTTGTATTTATCGAATCCCCGCAACCGAACTCGATCGCCGAGCAGCGTGAGGAATTCGTCGAAGAGCGGTGAATTTTCATTATTGTCCAGAATTTGCTCTTCGGTATACTGATCCTCTTTGACAAATATGACGCCAACTTTTAATTCTGATTTTATAAAAACCTATTCAGAGTTTAAAAAATATGTATATATATATAAAACCAGGAATACTTGGTTATGAGATTGTAAGATTACCTGATCTAATTTTAATAATTCCTCCGGCGTGTCGGGTAATTGTCCTAACGTTAAAGGTGGATTTAAATTAACTTCTTTACCTAAAGATCTAACTACCTCCTCGCGATTATATCTGTAAAATGTTGAATGGTTTTTATAAATTTTGAAAAATGGGAAAGAGAGCTTGCTCATCATGTAAAATAATGCAATAACAGATTAGTTATACTTCTGTATTTGTTAAATGGCAATCTTCGTATTTTTGTTTTGGTTTTGTTCATAAAATTAATGTTTTTTTTCTTATAAAATATATTTACCTATCGGCAAACACACAGGAGGCCGGTATCAGTCCATGCACCGTGTAGGACCCAGCCCGCACCAGAATGCGGAACTGGTCCCGTCCGTTGAGCGTCTCCTGCTTGATGGAGAGGATCACTGGACCCAGGTCCTCGTCGCTGGTGAAGTAGTTCCAGTGCTCGGTGCCGTAGAAGTACTTCTCGTACGTCTCCTGCTCCACGGAGATGAGTTCGAAGGCGCCCTGCTGGTCCCACTGCTCCTCAATTGTGGTTTTCTTGCGCGGACTGCAGGATAATGCATTTGATTAACAGAAATAAATATATATATATGTATTTATAGATATTATTATTAATATTTATTATTTTTAGAAATCAGAAATGTTTGTCAAAAGTTTGTAAATTAATTATTAATATTCAGTTACTCACAATGAATATAATATACTATTTACTATTGGATAATGTTGTATTCTTAAGCTAAATATTTCTTTTGGAGGATTCTCTCACCTTGGCGTTGCCTCGGAGTCCTCGTCGTCCTCGTAGAGATCGCTGCACTCGCGCTCCAAGTAGGCATCGCTGGCGCTTCCTGCCCGGATGTCCTCGTGCTCCGAGTCGCTCTCATCCCAAATCGTATGCGGGGTGGGCATAGAGATCTTCTGGCGGGAGCACTCGATCCAATAGCCAGGCGTTGGCATCAGGTTGTGCGGATACTCCTCGCAGAACTCATCTGCAAGCGTTTCCAATCGGGAGATTAAAGTTTTTGAAAGTCAAATCGAAACACTAAAAGATAATAGTTCTAATAAATGTATAATAAATATTCATGATATAACATACTTAAAAAATAAAGGTTCGTCTGTATGCATATCAACATTTTTAAACATAGAAAAATGTATATACCTATTTGTATTATTTATTAGGGCTTAGAAACCCATAGAAATTGTATTTTATAGAAACTGTTGAAGCCAAGTCTGGTTCCCTAAGTACTTTGGGAAACTTTCTTTTCTATAGCAATCCGCATCGCTCAAAGATTTCCGGACCAGATGCTTTACGCAGAAGTAGAAGTGCATTTTCTTTTGTCTAACTTCTTGGGCTTCCCTTCACTTCTGTGGCGACTTAACTCTTAATTTCTGGGGCGGCACCCTGGATTCTAGTTTGGCCAAGACCGCCGCCCAATCAGCCGCGGCATTTAAGCCACGCCCACTTGGGAAAAGTTTCGTTCGGCCCTCCTGCAATCTCGTTTTCGTTTTCTTGCTGCGGCCAGAGTCTTATGTCAAAGTTTCGCTCAACTTTTTAGCGGCTTGCGGCTGCCACATTCTCGCAAAAACTGTTGCCTACTTTGAGGCTTTCAATGGCTGGCAATTCCTTCAACTCGAAACAAAATAATTTAGTTCAATTCAATTAAAATGCAAATACCGTAAACGTTGGCGAGCGGCGTCGCGTGAGTTGCCAGTCATAAAGCAAGCGAAATTTACCATTTTCCCCCCGCCCAGCTTTTCCCCTCCCCCATTTCTCCGCTTTCTACTTTCTACTTTCCACTTTCCACTTTGCCCTTTTCCCCGTCGACGTTTCTGTTCATGATTGAGTTGGAAATTCGATGCGGCGCGTGAGTCAATAATGTGCCACAACTCTCCGCCCAACGAACAGTGGGTTAAAAAGGAAAAACAGTTGGTAAAATGGGTAGCCTAATAGATCATATTTTGATAAATCTGAAGTGGGCATTTTTCAGCTTGGTAAGTAAAAACTATTTAAGCAAAGAAAGGTCCTTTAAGATCGAACCACTTGAGATTCAATTAGAAATATAAAATCAATTATATAGATAGCCTGTATATTTCAATTGATTTTTGAAGAAATATTTCTGTTTCCTATATAAAAAGGAAATTCTAAAGAAAATATCTTTACCCTTTTCTTTTTTAATAGTTTTTATTTAGCATTTAAGCAGTTCCTTTCAGATACATTGTTTTTTAAACTAAATTTCTGATGAATTTAATTTCCTATTTTTAATCAAATTTTCTCGACTCCCGCCCACTGTACGATGATGAGTATGATGATGGCGGGCATGACGTTGATGGCGTTTTGGTCCTGGTCCTTGGGCCTTTGTGTTCTTGTTTGGGGACTCGAGTTTCGGCGAGATGGCAGTAAAACGCTGCCCTGCGCCAGGATGCGAACTATGATCTAATTAAGGAACGCTCACCGTTGCCGTCACATGTGCCACACATTTTATGCCGCAAGTTTGGCCCTGCTGCCACGCAGATGCTGCATATTTTTCGGGTCTCCTCCGGCCCAAAAAAAAAAAGAAAAGAAACACACACGCACATCTACACAGTGTGGCAACCACACAACGACTTTTACACCCACACATCCGTACACACATACACCCACCCACTGGCAGACAGACAGTGGGAGCCATAAAATGGTGGCCCTGCCTAATTCAAATTTGAATAACTCGCAGCGTGCGCCGCTAAGTAGGCTATGAAATCGCTTGCTCGCGCTGTTTTCTTGCGGTCGTGCGTAGATTTTAATACCCTACACAATGTAGGGTAACACAACTTTCGGGATAAAGCAAAACTATTGGAATACAAGTTATGAACTTTAAATGAAACAACATTAAGCAGACAAATAAATTTCTTGTTTGAGAAATGTCTCTTTTTATGTGTTTATATTAATAAAACATTTCTGAAATTTTCTTTATCAGTGGAAATGACAACTACCAAAATCTGCTTTAATTTTATTCAATATGGGCGAATAGGATTAAGTCAATTTTTAACTAGGCTGAATATATTACATAATAATACATTATTTCAAAAAAATGTAATTAATAATTTGATATTTGATATTTTTATTCTGAGACGCTTTATTTTTTTGAACTATTAACTGAGGTGTCAGAATGGAAAATACCATTTTTAAAATCTCGTTTTTAACTAGAGGGCACTGCGAGAACGTTGGGCAAATTTTCTGAAAAAGCTTATCGTTACGATTGTGGCTTTCGGTTCGGTCAGATTTTCCGGGGCGGTGCGTGTGTGTCTGTGTGTGTGTGTGTTTGTGTGTGCGTGTAAATTGCGTACGCAGCGCCCGCGGATGTGCAATATATTTTATTTTTTAGGGCCAGTAAAGCCAGGCCCGCATCTAGGACCATTTTTGGGTCACTTGGATTTACGCCACACTCTCCGGTTGGTTTTTCATTTACCAGCTCCCTGCTGCCTGGTTTTCCCGGGTTTCCCTGGTTTCCCTGGTTTTCCGTTTCCATTGCAACAACAACTACAGCTACAACGGCTCGGTTCATTTTTCATCTGCCCACCCGGCAGCAAAACAACTCGTGTTGCAGATGCAGCTGCACGGCGGCAACATGCAACACAAAACAGAGAAACAGAAAGGGGAGAAAAGGGAAAGGAAAAACAGGGAAAGGAAAATTCAGGGAAAACAAACACAAACAACCGAATTGATGGCCATCGTTTGTTGGCATCCCGGGTGGGAAAAAAAAAGAAAAGGCAACCGGAAACTGGCCGGCCAACTATTTCATCTTGCCACTAGTAAGGTTCGCCTGCCAAGGCGGCAATGGAAAAGGCAATGGCAGTGGCAATGGCATTGGCAAAGGCAAACAAATCAGGCCAACGGACACCCGGGAACAGGAATATATAACCTGAGAAGCTCTCGGGCAGGCAAATCGCAGGACGAGTGGAAATCGGACGCGGGAAGAGCTCCTTCACAACTGAAGATATTTAATGGCCTGGCCAACAGAAACTGAGAAGCCTGGCGGCACACAGAATACCAAGTTGTTTACGTCATTTTCTAAATTTAGGATAGCTAAAGTTTTGGCTAGATTTGTATTTTCAGGTTTTAAAAATCACATCAAAAAACAATGCTGATCCTTGCTCTACATTAAAACAAAGCAATTTTTAAAACCAAAAGTATTATGATAGTTTTTTTGGTGTTTAAATAGATGAATGTTATTAAATTTTTAAATTATAGTTAAATAAAAATATAAAGGAAATACCTAAGCCATTATAAAATAGTAAAGTAGTATAAATATAATGCAAATTCTTGAAAATTTCTCTCACTCAAATGAAAATTGTTGCACTGCAATTGGGTAAACCTTAATCTAGTGCTTCCTGCGATATTTGGGTGTTTCAGCCAAATGGAGCTGGATGGAGATGATATGTGTGGCAAGTGCAAACATTTCGCATTTCGCATGCCCCAAATTGGGATGTGATTGTGTTGATTTGCGTGGCCGCACGCGTGTTGCAATTTAAATTCCATTTTCGGCACTAGAACCGCAAATGGAGCGGTCGAAATTGCAGGTGTAAACATTTAACGAACGTATTTCACTTGCCGTACTGCAAATATAAAATAAACACCCGTATTCCTGATTCAATCAAATAAAATTCCATTTGCCCAGAGCTCAGTTTAATTAGTAAATAAGGGGGTAATTTAAGGCAGCGTGTTTGTTTTACTTTACCATATATCGGTTTTAAGGGAATAATAAAAATCCAATAATAAACATTTATAGTTTAATTGAGTTGGAAATTACTATTGAACTTGATCGATACAGAGTGAATATACTGAAGTGTAGTTTATTAAAGTCCAAAAACCCTGACAAAGGCTTAATTTTTATATTAAATAAAAACCTTAAATGTATACCCATATTTTATTTATATATACCAAAAATAGTTCAAGTTCAAAGGAACTTAATTGAAATGTATTTTTGCGTTGAATAATATTAAGTTTTCGCTCCCTTTTTCCAACTAACCAATCAAATTCCGCGTTGGCAAATAGAATTAAAATAAAAACGTCCCACTGCCTGGATGTCAATCCCTTTTCGAGGCTTTTAATCCGTTCAGCGTTAATTATGAGAGCAGCTAATACTGCGTTCCGAATCCGCCGCGTCATCCACTCGTCAGTCATCCCCGGCATCCTTTCAATTCCTGGACACAGGGATTTCCGCTTACACAACAATAACACACAAAGAGGACCAAGTGGCCATGGAATGCGACCCCGTATTTTGTTTTTGTCGGCCAACAATGCAGTTTGGGCCAGATGACTGGGCGGGATTTCGTTTCGGTGCGACTTTAAATGACACGCTCGCCCGCCTTTTCGACCTTTCAGCTTTCAACTTTCAACTTTCATCTGGCGCACTTTTTATGTTTGGATGCGCCACGGAAATCCATTAGCTGGATTCGCTTTAAACCCAACCCAGCGGTCGGTTCGGTGCCCATTCCCCTGCGGCGATGACAATTCCTTCAAGGATCACGCAACATTGCATTAGCATAAAGTGCCGGCACAATGGCCCGACATTTGGCAAATGACTCGCAGGATAATGGACATTCGGATCGGCGGGCAAAAAAGAGGAGCGGGAAACACACATTTGGATGTCGACAAAAAAAAAAGTAAACTTCAACTTTAAACTTTGCCAAGGAAAGTCAACCCTAAGACAGGGTTTTTATTCCCTTTAGTTTCTGCCTTGCGCTTTACGAGCTCTTCTCTTTGTAGGTGTTTATGTTTATTTAATGATTTTTGATTTGGGTGCTCATTTTTATTTCCAGCGTAAGGTCACAATGCTCATTTTTATTTTGTCTGTTTGATAGAACGAGAATAATTGCTGTAAATTCAAAAAGGATTTTGTCGCTAGGTAACTTAATTATTCCTTCACGTTTTAGTTTGAACACAATTGTGGGGTAAGAATTAGAAAATTAACTAAATCCTACTTTCCAGGATTTATTTTTGCTTAAGAGA